GTATCAGCCAGCACATCAACGACTTAAATCTAAAAATAGTTTTCTAAGATCTACAGAGACACTCGCTGGAACACCTCAGCAAGCGAGAGTCCAAAAGTGGCAGGCTCAAACCCAGAACCTCAACCAATGGCTGATACCAAATGAGAGGCTCCCCCCTGGGCACACAGAGGACTGGGCGACTTGGAAGGCGCTGAACAGACTGCTCTCTGGCACCACAAGATGCAGAGCCAACCTTCAGAAATGGGCTACAAAGTGGAATCCTCGACATGCGAGTGTGGAGAGGAGCAAACCACTGACCACCTGCTGCAATGCAACCTGAGCCCTGCCACATGCACAATGGAGGACCTTCTTGCAGCAACACCAGAAGCACTCCAAGTGGCCAGATACTAGTCAAAGGACATTTAATCAACTACCAAACTCACAAATTTTGTATGTTGTCTGCTTGTTTGCTTTGTTCTGTTAGAAATGTAATATAATTGACTGGTTGCCCTGACACGACAAATAAATAAATAAATAAATACGACAAGGTTCTGTGCTGTCCTGTGTGCTTTTTGAATTTCAATATACAATCACTAGGGGCCATCACCTGGAGATTTGATCTGAGGTATAATCAGTTCACGAAGTATACTGAGCTCTATCTCTTATTTCAAGCAGTTTGTCCCTTGATCATAGGGTTAAAGTTAGGACTTTTACCATGGAGATTATAGAACTCTTGCACCATGTCTAAAGGTAATTTTGGGACTGACGATGGAAGCAATCCGATATTTGTCCCAGACAGGACAGTATGCTGTGGATATGGAAATTAACAACACCCAGTAGAGATATATAGCTGCCCTTGCACCTCTTTTTGAAGTCCCCCAACATGCCATACAATTGACCTCTTCATATCATCAGTACCACCAAAATAAAGATGGCTTTTGTATTGTCGAAGGCTTTCACGGCCGGAATCACTGGGTTGTTGTAGGTTTTCCGGGCTATATGGCCATGTTCTAGAGGCATTTTCTCCTGACATTTCGCCTGCATCTATGGCAAGCGTCCTCAGAGGTAGTGAGGTCTGTTGGAAGTAGGAAAATGGGTTTATATATCTGTGGAAAGACCAGGGTGGGACAAAGGACTTTTGTCTGCTGGAGCTAGGTGTGAATATTTCAACTGACCACCTTGATTAGCATTTAATGGCTTGGAAGTGCCTGGGGGAATCCTTCTTTGAGAGGTGATTTGATGTGCCTGATTGTTTACTCTCTGTTATTTTGCTGTTGTAATTTTTGAGTTTTTTTAAAACTGGTAGCCAGATTTTGTTCATTTTCATGGTTTCTTCCTTTCTGTTGAAATTGTCCACATGCTTGTGGATTTCAGTGGCTTCTCTGTGTAGTCTGACATGGTGGTTGTGAGAGTGGTCCAGCATTTCTGTGTTCTCAAATAATATGCTGTGTCCAGGTTGGTTCATCAGGTGCTCTGCTATGGCTGACTTCTCTGGTTGAAGTAGTCTGCAGTGCCTTTCATGTTCCTTGATCCGTGTTTGGGCACTGCGTTTGGTGGTCCCTATGTAGACTTGTCCACAGCTGCATGGAATACGGTAGACTCCTGCAGAGGTGAGAGGATCCCTCTTGTCCTTTGCTGAATGTAGCATTTGTTGGATTTTTTTGGTGGGTCTGTAGGTGGTTCCCTTGATGTATGGCAAGTCACTAGTTCCCTTGATGTATGGCAAAAACACTTTTCCTCTGGGTGGATCATCATCTTTACTCTCGTGGCTTGTTCTTGGTCTTGCAGTTCTTCTGATGTCTGAGGTTGAGTATCCATTGGCCTGTAGAGCCCAGTTGAGGTGGTTCAGTTCATCTTGGAGGAGGTGGGGTTCGCAGATTCTTTTTGCACGGTCTGCCAAGGATGAAAAGAGATGGTTTTTCTCATATTTTAGTGATAGAAGCAATCAAAGATACTCTCTGTGTACCCTAGGAAGACTGTCTGTCACTTTTCTAAACAATAGAAAGCTATCAGACTGCAGCCAGTGGGAAATTCCTTGGCTTCTGCTAAATTTAAGCAGCATTCAGAGGGAGAGACTGAAGGTATATTTAAGAATCTCCTAAAGCAATGATACTAAAAAAATGGCAATTCGTGGATTGTACCAATTCCTAAGCTATGGCATCCAGTCTCTGGTGAGTTTCCATGAAAGGAAGAAAACTTGAAGCCAGTAGACACAAATATGGTACAGTTTGGGAGATCTTGTATGTGTGGATCCATTTTTTGATACAGTACTCTGAGAATGAAAATATAATGGCAACTGGTTACATGGGTGTTATGTTTTCCATGTAACCCATTAAAATGGCAACTTTTCTGCTAAGATGCCCTCATTTGCTTGTGTTATCATCAAAGGATGGTTGTCATTACTCTGGTTAAAAATAGACTGTGTTATAGTTGCCAAGTGGGTAATGCAAAAAGACATTTCTTGTTGGTCGTGTTTTCTCTTTGAAACAACTTCTTTTGAAGCAAAGCAGAAGTCATTTGAATATATACAGTCACAGCAGGAGGGGGCCATGTGCGTCAAGCTCTTCCTACCTAGACTTCCTTTCTTGTTGTTATCTGTATGTCTTTAAAAATCACCATCTCTCAAATGATGCACAGTGCAAATTTAAAAGGTATGGGAAAAGGCAGATGGCACTAGTGCACTTAACATTGCTCAAAATAATGACAGGCATCAAAACAACACTTTAGGGCAGAATTAGTCATCATACTTGGCACAGGACAGCTGTTAAAAATGGCACCACAGTATCAAGTTGTTCATGCTATAACTTCATATTGCAATTTTCTCCTCTTGCACTAAATCATTGACCAATCTTCCTTCATATCATTGACTTCAGGGGGTTGGCTGCTGCCTTCTAGACAAGGATCAGAATTGTTTTGTTCGTGGTTTGCATGCAAACCATGGGAGCTTTCCTGTGTGGCCCTCCGGTTTCTCTGAACCCAAATGTCCAAATTTAAATTAGTTTAGAAGTCCAACTGGAAAAAAACATTGAGGGTGCATGTTTCATTCTAGCACTGCTTGGGAGGTTCTATCCAAAACAACAGGAAATCCTCCAAAAAAAAAAATCTCTGGAGGTTATGGCTTCAAAAATGTTTGTAACAAGATTTGTCAGGAGGAGCCAAAAACAGTACTCTGCACATTCCTATGCCTTCTTGAGAAAGTGTTGCCCTTCTTTCTGTTTTCCTCCTCCCTCAGACACATGTAGAATTGTCTGCACATTCCTTCCTCACGGCCCTCTATAGCTTCCCATATTGTGTCGAGAGAAGACTCCTGCTGAATGACATCTGATGATTCGGAGAGGAAGTCATTGTATTTCAAGGAGAATATCTGGCATATAGGCATAGTTTTCGCTACAAAGGCCTTTCATTGCCAGATAATTACTTGTTTAAATTGTAGGCTGTCTGAAGATATTCTATTGCTATCAGATCTTCTCATTAGAGGCTGCATCAAGAGCTGGGAATATTTTATGTTGATTTCCTTAGTGCTTGTGCTGATTAGATGTTTTATTAATTTTTAAAGCAGCAACCAACAGCCGGCAGAACCTAAATTGGCACCAGACAAAAAAATTACTAGCAGTTATGGAGCTTAGATACGCTGAGTAATTCTCATCAGCAAGAGCTATCTCCTAATTGGTTTGTATGCTTAAGAAAACAAAAGAAGCTAGAAAATTACTGTTTAACATGCTGTAGTGTTTGAGAGGAAGATGCTTAGAAAATCAAGCACAAATGAGTACTGCACACCCTTTGAGGTATTTGTTGTACACTTCTGTCTATTTGGCTTGATAATTGTGGTCACTGCAGTTCAAAAACTGCAATTTCTCTATGCTGGTCCAGAAAGCTTTGAAAAGAAGTGGCTGAAAGCATAATGTGAACATTCTAATCAGATTTCTACAGATCTTCAAATGCCACAGCAGCAGCAATAGCAGCATTTGAAAACCCTCCTTTATAATGAAGGTTATAACCAGACACTACTGCTATGAACTGTATTAGCAGCATTTCAACAATGTCTTTCATTGTACTGAAACACATGCTGCTGCAGCTTTGCTGAAATGAAGCAGATCTGTATGTGGTTATTACAGTGGATGTGTAAGCTTCTTGGAATCTTGTGTGCAATCAAACATTCTATATAGCAGTGTTTCTCAAACTCTGCTCCTCCAGGTATTTTGGACTTCAGCTTCTAGAAATCCCAGCCAGTTTACCAGCTGTTGGTATTTGTGGGAGTTAAAGTCCAAAACATCTGGAGGAGCAGAGTTTGAGAAATACTGCTATAGAGGAATGGGCGTTGTACAGGTTGAGTCATCCTAATCCAGAAATTCAAAATACTTCAAAAACTTCTCTCTTTTTTGCAAATCCACTTTTTGGGGAAAGTGGGCTAGTCGCACATCCAACAGGTGGGAAGACACCACTTACACAAGTTTCTGTAAAAAAAAACAGACATGCAGGTGCTTCTGCTCTCATCTTCAGCCTGGCTAGTGGCAGCACACAATGGGGCAGATACCCTCCAAACAGCCCTGAGGATGAGCCTTATTGGCTACCATCTTTATCTGGCCCAGAAAGAATGAAAAAGGCTCATGGGAATGGATGCAAAGGAGGCTTTCTCCTATTTCCCAGCTACTGTGCTAAAAAAATAGAAAATATGCTGACAGCCTAGGGAAGTGTCTGAAATATCTACTTTTTACAAGAGCCTCGTGCAAGTGGAGTCCTACTTCCTCCTCCATTTTGTTTCCCTCCTCTGAGGAAAACTCAGTGGGTGCTGGACCTATGACTAGCCTCCTTTTCCCCAATCCCTTATTCACTATGTATATGAAATCCAAAACAATCCAAAATCAAAAAGAAAATCTGGTTCCAATAATTTCAGATAAGAGAGACTCAGTCTGGAGTAATGAATAACAAAAGTGATTAGATTCCAATTTAGAAATTCAGGAGATATTTGCAGCTTGTTTAACATACCAGTTTTTTTTCTCTCCCCTCCCTGTTGTTTCCAGCAATGATGATGCATTTAACCAGATGGCTGTGGCTCCTTTCCCATTACCCTCCAGCTCCCAGTCTTCCATTGAGGTAAGATGCTTTTCAGTGTTCCTTAAATGAAAGCAATTAATCATAATTAGCAAATTAATATCAATCCAAGCATTCATCTGATTAAAGCCTGAATCCTAAAACACAAATAAGAAAATCAGCTGCATTTAAATTTTCTCTGATCACAAAATAGCTGGCATGGTTCAAGTTTGCATTCCACTCTGCTCCAGGAGAGATTATTTCTAAATAGGTCATCCTCAACGATACAGCTATTTAACAAACATCTCCACAATTTACATTAGAACTGTTAAAACATATGAGAAAAGAACCCTCTGGCTTCTGGAGATCTGTTTCCTTCCCAAAAACAGGAGGGTAGCACTCTGCTTATTACAGGGGCAGCTGTGGTGTTTTTCTAGTTTGTGTTTTCAAAGAGCATGTGCTGGCAAATATAATGAAATTGAATCTTCAAAGGGTTCAGTGTGTGCCTCACTTTTATTGTTGTACTATTTAATGAGTTTATATTGTTTAAAAGTATTGGTGTCTTAATATGGTAGTGAATTTATTTGTTTTCCTAAGCTTTTTCATTATCAAGCCTTAATTCATGTTCCTCATTTTAATGTATCACATGAGCTATAAATGTCTGTATTCAAACTGATTGGATGATGTGGCGCAAAGGCCTTGACTGCACCAGAAACTTCTTATAGGCCAGCACATTGGGTTTTCTGGGTAAGGCCAGAACATAGAGCCTTTGTAATCCCGATGTTTTGCACTATAGTCCAATTCTAATTCCTGTACAGAGGTGGATGAGAGTCAGAGTAAGAGATCTGGAGATCCAAACCTTCCACTGTCGCTTGATACCTATCTGAATTCCAATGAAGGTTGAATGTGGGTTGGTTGCTACAATAGAAACACTGCCAGCATCCATAAAGATTCCAAAGCTATCTCACATAAAGAACCCCATATTTACTTGAGTCTAATATGCCATCAAATCTAGTGTGCACCTCAAATTTCACAACCTGGAAACTCCAAAAAGTATTTGTTACCAAATGTAATGTGCAGCGGGAAAAAGTACATTCTTTGTAAGCTGACCATTATAGTTGCTGCCTGCTTAGAGTTCCTTCTTTAAAAACAAAAGTGTTAGGACACCAAAGCTTCCTGCAATTGAAAATAAAAACCTTGGGATGCATCTATGCTGTAGAATGAATGCACTTTAATTGCCTTGGTTCAACGCTGTGGAATCCTGGGGGCTGTAGTTTTACAAGGCCTTGAACCTTCTCTGCCAAAGAATGCCAATGCCTCACCAAACTACAAATCCCAGGATTCCATAGTAGTAAGCCCTGGCCACTAAATTAGAAACAATGCCCCTCAAATAGAAGCTCAAGGTACAGCTCCCTTTGCTTTGACTCAGCACGTACTACACAAATCTAACGTGCACCTTACTTTTGGAGAGGTAATTTAGCAAAAAAAGAAAGGGGGGGGAGATGAACATTTAATTGGAGTAAATTGGGTAGATGACACTATAAGGACATGGCTGTAAAAATTTAAGACGTTATAAACGCAAAGAATTGTAACAAAATAGGGGGGCAATGACCACAGCTTTAGACAACAAAGATATATGCAAAGTTGGATCCCCACCCCTTCCGCCGTCCCCAGTTACTGGCTTAGGACCTCATCAGATGGGTGGGGTGAGGCGGGGGAGTGGAAGGAAAGCACAGGGAACTGTCTTAAACCATTCCCTCTTGTCTTTTCCCGTTTTTCAAGGATGACCAGACATCCCATATGCTTGCCGCACCTTCCATCTTCTTTGCTGTGCTTTGTTCTCTCTTTCTCTATCAGGAGTTGATGACTAGTCATGTGGCTATCTTTGTGATAGATCTGTAATTTCTGTCCTCTATTTCTTTTTGAATGTTTTGCACTTCATCCAATCCCCTTCAAAAGGTTTTGTACCTTTTGTATGAGTGAACTTGCTTTTCTTCACAGTGAATGTGGTATTCAGAAATATGCCGCCTGTGTATTAATAGTGACCTTTAAAGTGTGTTATTGTTTTTTGAAGGATAAGGCTTTTGATGCACTCAACTAAATGCAGGTAGACATTTCCTGCTTTCTCAAAAAGCAACTAATTTAAAATCTTTGCCTGTTGACTTAGTGGCGAAATGACTTAAGTGGCGGTTCAGTGTACTTTTTAGATGTGAGTGTATGCTTTGCTTCATCATACATAAAGGATAATCAAATTTTGTGTTCAGCAGGAGGCTTCTTCAGCCTGAACATTATTATAGCTGTAAGGCATATGTCCTTGATTCAGTTTTACCTTCAAGCCTCAGTTGAATTTGTTGGTTTTCTAACTTCAAAGCAGGAATTCAAAGTCATACCTCTCAATATTTCTGGGACAAATAGAATACTACTGAGGATACAATGTCCAGGGGTTTTTAAATTTTAATCAACACAATCTGTCTCTTAATATAAAAACATGCAGCATAGTATCGGAGGACATTGTCAGCCTCATATGAGGAACTAATGTTTGAAGGGTATTTTTCTCATTGAATTTCTGCAAAAAAAAAAATTAAATTTTTTTTTTATGAATGCCATATAGCAAAGTTTTACATGTTGATTAAAAAAGAGTTGAAAAGACATAGAGAAGAGAGAAGGAGAAAAAAAGAGAGAAGAGAAAAAAAAAGTAATAATAATAATAAAATATTTTGAAAATGAAAAATCCACATAAAAAATTTAATTCAACAACTCCTCATAAAAACCACAAAGCTTTTAAATTCTGTCCCACCTTTGTAAATGCTTATCATTATAAATACATTTTTGAAGTATCTGCAGCTATGTATTTAAATAACAAAAAGTCCAAATGACCTAATTATGAAATTTCTTAGTTTGCTTCAAAAAACTTAACATTTATAGAATTATAAATTAAGATACTAAGAGCCACTAAGTTAAATAAAAGACCTAATGCCTTCTGCTATGCTTTACTCATGCTTTGATCCCTGTGACAGCAACAGAATTTAAGCAGACTATGACTAATTTGCCTCATTGATTTCAATAACATTAAGGCGTACAACTTGGTTTCAACCCTAAGCTTTACATTTTCAAACTCTGCTTGATACTTTATATACCTCATCACACTAGATCGGTTGTTCTCAACCTGTGGGTCCCCAGGTATTTTAGCCTACAATTCCCAGAAATCCCAACCAGTTTACCAGCTGTTAGAATTTCTGGGAGTTGAAGGCCAAAACATCTGGGGACCCACCGGTTGAGAACCACTGCACTAGAGAATGAATCCACTTTAAATCCACTTGCTGCCTCCTGCAGAATTCTGGGGTTTGTAGTTTAGGGAGGAACCCTTAACAACCTCACTAACTACAGACCCCAGAATTCTGCAGGAGGGAGGAACCGGATTTAAAATGGATTCATTCTCTAGTGCAGTCATCCTCAAACTGCGGCCTTCCAGCTGTTTGGGCCTCCAACTCACAGAATTCCTGGTCAATGAACAAGCTGGCAAGGGCTTATAGGAGTTGGAGGCCAAAACAGCTGGAGGGCCGCAGTCTGAGGATGACTGCTCTAGTGTAAAGAAGTAGTTAAACAGCTTTAGCAAAATACAGTAGTGAAATGCATAGGAATTGTGTAGGCTAAGTTATGTATTTGATTTTGGGCAAGTTTTTAATAGAGAAGGGTCCAATAAAATAAGTTGAAAATATTGTTTCTTAAATATTTCTACCATAATATTTTCTATTTCTTTTTTTAGGATGTCAGTAACAAGGTTGAAAAACCAGTGACTGAGAACCAGCAAATTTTGACAGAGAAGCCATCAGAAAATGTATGTATTGATTATTCAGTCTCAAACAAACAAAAGGAAATGAATGAGCCTATTTTAAACCATTACAATGTTTCATTTAGTTTGAATTGCAACATATTATAATACTATAAAAACAAGCATAAATAATAGTAGTCAAACAATTGAATGTGGAATTTTTAAGTAATAACTTTATAAGGATTTTTCTATGGGTCTTGCATTTTATGCTCAAGTCTAGATCTAGACCAACAGAGTGAGGCAGCTGCCTCAGGCATCTGGAAAAAGTGTCAAACTGACATTTATTTAGTATATCAATGTTGTATTTTGTTTCCTGCTAGGAAGCAGAATAGGCGCTTGTGCTATTTTTTGCCTCAGGTGCTAAAATAATCAAGTGTACTAACTTGAGGGTGTCCAATGGGACATGTCTGTTTATGTGCTCAGTTGGTTGCTCTGTCTCAGGTAGCGGTCTTATTCTTTCCAATTATGATATGTTGTTCTGAACAAAATTTCTAAAACCTCAGCACCAAAAAGTGGGAAAATCAGTACTTTTGAAGCTGTTAAATGTTTTAATATACACCCCTCTTCTGATCCATGTGAAAATCTCTCTGCTTTGGCTTAATCTGCTTCTTTTTGGTTTTTGAAGGAAGCTTTAACAGTTGATCTGCTTTCATTTCTCCTTTTTTTCTTCCCTTCCAGTTTTTTAATCAATTAAAGCAATCAAAGCCTTCAACAGTAATCCCCATCAGTTTACACGATATATCTTTGGCACCTGCATCATTGTCTCCAGAGACAGAATTCATCAACAGAAGTATGAACTTACTATTTTCATCCCAACAATATCTTGTATTTGTTACAAAAATGGTTAGAATGACAGGGAAAAGGTTTATATGTATGTTTAAAATCTATGTATATGATACACATGTAAACACATAAAATATATAACATAAATTATCATAATCTATAATATATATGCAGCCCCCCTGGTGGCGCAGCATTAAACCACAGAGTTGCTGAACTTGCTGACCGAAAGGTTGGTGGTTCAAATACTGGGAGCGGGGTGAGCTCCTGCTGTTAGGCCCAGCTTCTGCCATCCTAGTTTGAAAACATGCAAATGTGAGTTGATCAGTAAGTACCATTCTGGTGGAAAGGTAACAGTGCTCCATGCAGTCAAGGTCATGCTGGCCACATGACCTTGGAAGCATCTATGGACAACACCAGCTCTTTGGCTTAGAAATGGAGATGAGCACCACTCCCCAGAGTTGGACACGACTAGACATAATATCAGGGGCAACCTTTGCCTTTATCTTAGAATATATATCCATATTATATTTTGCATTATTCATGGAGGGAAGGTTTCTGCAATACTGTCTTCCATCATTGTTCAAGAAGATACTTTCGTTTCATGAGTTAGAGCTGCTTACAGAGGAACAGGATGTTACTTCTATTAATCTTCTTTGATTAATTTGTTTCTTGACTTGAATCCAAGGATATTATTGGTATAAAAAGTACTGTTGGAATAATATGCCTCAATAGAGTTAACAACAACAAATGTTCATAAAGTTCATTAATTACGTTGCAATATAAGAAATGAAGACCAAAATATTGTTTGTGAGGTTTCTTTTAGAGCAAGAAAATACCTTTTTGAAACAGGAAGAGACCTGGAGTTTATTCACACTCCATGATTATAACACCATGGTTTCATTTGAAATGTCATGGTTCCATCATGTGGCATCTTGGGATCTGCAGTTTTGAGAAAGAGCCTTTCGAATTCCTGGCCAGAGAATTCTAGTATTTCCCCAAGCTAAAGACAAGACAAAACAGAAAATTCAAGATTGCATAGTCCGAGACATTGTTCAGGAGGCGGCAACAAAATATGTTCCAAAGAAAAAGAAAACCAAGAAGGCAAAATGGTTGTCTGCTGAGACACTGGAAGTAGCCCAAGAAAGGAGGAAAGCAAAAGGAAACAGGGATAAGGGGAGATATGCCCAGTTAAATGCGCAATTCCAGAGGTTAGCCAGAAGAGATAAGGAACTATTTTTAAATAAGCAATGCATGGAAGTGGAAGAAGACAACAGAATAGGAAGGACAAGAGACCTCTTCCAGAAAATTAGAAACATTGGAGGTAAATTTCAGGCAAAAATTGGCATGATAAGAAACAAAGATGGCAGGGACCTAACAGAAGCTGAAGAGATCAAGAGAAGGTGGCGAGACTATACAGAAGATCTGTATAGGAAGGATAATAATATCGAGGATAGTTTTGATGGTTTGGTGAGTGAATTAGAACCAGACATCCTGAGGAGTGAGGTTAAATGGGCCTTAAGAAGCATTGCTAACAAAAAGGCAGCAGGAGATGATAGGATCCCAGCTGAACTGTTTAAAATCTTAAAAGATGATGCTGTCAAGGTGATGCATGCCATATGCCAGCAAATATGGAAAACACAAGAATGGCCATAAGACTGGAAAAAATCAACTTATATCCCCATACCAAAAAAGGGAAATGCGAAAGACTGCTCAAACTTCCGTACAGTGGCCCTTATTTCTCATGCCAGTAAGGTAATGCTCAAGATCCTGCAAGGAAGACTCCAGCAATACATGGAGCGAGAGTTGCCAGATGTTCAAGCTGGGTTTAGAAAAGGTAGAGGAACGAGAGACCAGATTGCCAATATCCGCTGGATAATGGAGAAAGGCAGGGAGTTTCAGAAAAACATCTACTTCTGCTTCATTGACTATTCTAAAGCCTTTGACTGTGTGGATCGTAATAAATTGTGGCAAGTTCTTGGTGGGATGGGCATCCAAGCCACCTTCTCTCTCTCCTGAGGAATCTGTACAAGGACCAAGTAGCAACAGTCAGAACTGACCACGGAACAACAGACTGGTTCAAGATTGGAAAGGCGTACGGCAAGGCTGCATCCTCTCACCCAACCTTTTTAACTTGTATGCAGAACACATCATGCGATGTGCGGGGCTGGATGAATGCAAAGCTGGGGCGAAAATTGCTGGAAGAAACATTAACAACCTCAGATATGCAGATGACACCACTCTGATGGCCGAAAGCGAGGAGGAGCTGAGGAGCCTTCTAATCAAGGTGAAAGAAGAAAGCGCAAAAGCTGGGTTGCAGTTAAACATAAAAAAACCAAGATTATGGCAACAAGAATGATTGACAACTGGGAATAGAGGGAGAAAACATGGAGGCAGTGAAGACTTTATTTCTAGGTGCAAAGATTACTGCAAATGAAGACTGCAGCCAGGAAATCAGAAGACGCCTACTTCTTGGGAGGAGAGCAATGTTCAATCTCGATAAAATAGTAAAGAGTAGAGACATCACACTGGCAACAAAGATCCGCTCAAAGCCATGGTATTCCCTGTAGTAACCTACGGATGTGAGAGCTGGACCTTAGGGAAGGATGAGCGAAGGAAGATCGATGCTTTTGAGCTGTGGTGTTGGAGGAAAGTTCTGAGAGTGCCTTGGACTGCGAGAAGATCCAACCAGTCCATCCTCCAGGAAATAAAGCCCGACTGCTCACTGGAGGGAAGATACTAGAGACAAAGTTGAAGTACTTTGGCCACATCATGAGGAGACAGGAAAGCCTAGAGAAGACAATTATGCTGGGGAAAGTGGAAGGCAAAAGGAAGAGGGGCCGACCAAGGGTAAGATGGATGGATGGCATCCTTGAAGTGACTGGACTGACCTTGAGGGAGCTGGGGGTGGTAACGGCCGACAGGGAGCTCTGGCGTGGGCTGGTCCATGAGGTCACGAAGAGTCGAAGACGACTGAACGAATGAACAACAACAACAACATGAAATTGAAATCATAGTCCTTTAACTTTGTTGTGTGAAAGGGCCCTGGAAAAGATTGGAGGCAAAGTGGGGAAAAATTTGTGGAGATTTGGGGAAAGTTTGTTGAGTTCTTGAAGCCTCAAAAACCAGCACTTTTTTCTCTGCTGCATTGCCAGACTCCATCATTGTATTTAAATAGTGTGGACTCAATCAAATGAAGAAACATGTGATGTCACAAATGGCATTAGAGTCAGTTAATCTGTTAATAACAGTGGATAAACCATGGAATATGCCCTTTCTGTTGTCTTATTGCTCATGTTAGTTTTACTTGTTAAGAATCTGTTCAGAAAGTTTATTTCTGTGTTGCTTCTCTCTACAGGATTTGGGACTTCATTGCCTAATCACTTTGAATCTTGGTTTACAGGTAGCCTTCCGCCTCCCTTGGCAGATCCTGCAACATGCTCAATTATTCCTGGGCAAGAAATGGTTATAGAAATATCCAAAGAGCGATCAGGGCTTGGTCTCAGTATTGTAGGAGGGAAAGATACCCCACTTGTAAGTTATTCTGTTGTTATTTCTGATACTGTGGAAACTCTCATGAATCCTAAAACCAGGTTATCCATGCAATATGACAACTCTACTTTCATTCCAGTTATTTGTTAATGGTTTTTAATCTGAGAATGTAGGTTTCAGTGTTAAATTTAATGCTCTTGTTTATTATGTAGTTATTTTCTTATTTATTATTCATTTGTTGATTATATTTATTCAGCACCTTTCTCCTGGGCTGAAATTCCAGTATTTTTTGGTTTTCTGGAAAAACCACTTGGGAGTGCTTCTTATTCCAGAAAAACAATATAGAAATGTCTCCAAAAAGAAGCAGACCTAGTATTTTCACTGCATACAGGGCTGCAAAGAGGTGTAGCCTACTTTGTGAAGTTAGTAATTGGACAGATAACCAGTGCTAATGAAAACAGAGTACCTGTCAAAATCTACTTCTGTAGAGGCAGTTCTTACTGCAGTACTGTTAATTCCTAACCTGCATAGCAAATGTTCCAACTCTGACTCGTCTATCTGTAACACCTTCTTTGCTGTCAAATTCCAGTAATGAATTTCATCTGCAATGCTCAGCTGTGGATCCTGCATGATCTTCCCCATGATTTGTAAATAATACACTGGAAGAGTTCTGTGGCATTCAGAAGATCTTATACTTCTTCTGGTGTTCTGGCAGGATAAATAATAAAGGATAAAATCTGAACTCCACATTTTTAATGGGAGCTGCTTCCATCCTGCCCCACGTGTATCATGGAGAGCTCCTACCCTTTCTCTCAATTTCTTTGTTTACTACAGCTACAGCAGCATATTGCAACTGTTTGATCTTTAAGTCAGCAGATCCTTTTTTCTATCTTATTCACTGTTACTGTCTTTATATAAAAAACTAATTTTCTTTGTCTCTTTGAATTTCCATTAACTTTCTTTCCTCTATCCTTCTGGGTTTTTAAGCTCATATCATCAAATATTTTTGTTCATCGAAGCCATTCTTTGAGAAGTGCATTTATCACCTAAACACAATATTCTATCACTGTTCTCCAAAAGAGGAATTCAGGGACTTGGTTCCTTAATCCAGTCATCTGAGAATAGAGGTGTCTGAGCTTTAGGCTCCAGGTGTTTTTGAACTCTAGTTTTCAGTTCCGTATTTTGTATTGTTCGTGATCACAAAGAAGTTGATATTTGAAAAAAAAACTGGGGCAGTCACAGGCTTATAGAAGACATGCAATCCCATAGTTCTTATTAGCTACTCAAGATACACATGTATAAGTTGAGAAATTTTAGTCAAAAAATCAACCCAGCAAACCTGGGTTGAGTTATTCACAGGTCAATGTAAGTAACTGTACCTTAACACTTAGGAAAGGGGCCATCTCCTTCTCTGAGTAGAGTAGTGAAAGGCAAAAGCTTAGTCTGTCTCAGGAGAACCTAAAACAGGAGTCCCCAAACTAAGACCCACAGGCCAGATGTGGTCCTTCAAGGTCATTTGCCCAGCCCCCAACCTAAACTTTAGACTTAGGGTCACCCTAAGTCTGGAACTACTTGAAGACACACAACAAGAACAATCCTAATTACCTTGACATCAGGCAAAAACAGGCCCACACTTCCCGCTGAAATATTAGTAAGGTTATGTTGGTTAAAATTGTTTTTCATTTTAAATATTGTGTTTTTCTTTCATGTTTTTTGCACAACAAATAAGATATGTACAGACTGCATAGGAATTGGTTCATGTTTTTATTTTCCAAACTATAGTCCAACCTCCCAAGAGTCTGGGGACTGTGAACTAGCCCTTAGCTTAAATGGTTTGTGGATTTCTGACCTAAAGGAACCACTAACCCTCTCTGCTCTCCCTGTTGTGGCTGCATTGGCCTTTCTGAGTCCCTGGGTGGAAGACTGGTGATGGTGGTCAAGGGTGACTGCCTCCTGAGGCAACACTCGTGCTTTCCTCTCTTTGTGGTTTTAATATTACATTGCCTGTTTATTGAATCAGCACTTGGCTACTTTTTGAGGTAGTTGATGAAACTGGTTCCATGTGAATAACCACAAGGCACTTGGCCCATCCAGAATATTATGTCCTTAGCATCTGAATAAGACCCATGAATGCTTTCAAGTGCAGAAATTGAGTCTTCCAGCTCTGTCAGGGAATTTTCTCAAGCAAGGGACTGATCTGTACACATAAACCTGTGAGTGAGTGTGTGTGTATGCATGAATGTGTGTATATTTACCCATCTAAAACTGAAGTGAATGGGACAGCACATGTGGAAAATTGTGAATACCCCAAAGCTCTATGCTTGGTTATTATGTTTGGGCAGATTGCAAACCCATAAATACAAAAGTAACACTTTGCCTTGCCTTTAGTCTCAGTACTCAAGCAGCAGAATGCTCCTTTGAGCTCACAGTACTCTGAATTACAAGTGAGAAACCATTACAAAAAATAGAGAAATTAAATTTACTTTGGCATAGTCATTTGGAGGAGAGACTTTGGTAATGAAATCTCAGGACGACTGGTTATCAGGGTTTTTTAAAAGGCATTATCAACTGGCATAAACTCAGAAGGCTGGAAATCCTAGGTCATCTGCACATTCCCTCAGCTACCAGTGCCTGCTCATTGCTATGTTATAATGGTATGATCACAACAGCAGAAAGCCTACATATCTACCATTAGGCCATGGGACTTGATCTTTTGACCCTGACATATTTTGATGGTGTTCAAGAAAATTGGCTATTCTTGTAAGATCTTTTGCTTAATAAACTGACTGGAAGCAATCAGTCACTGCAGGAACATTATTTAATCTGTCTTTCTGTTCCACTAATTGTGTCAAAAAGTTGGCAACACAGATGCCTAAAACAGAATAAAATGCATCTTTAATTTAAATCTATAACATTTAGTGATATTAACCACTACAGCTTTCTGTAAATTAATAGGTTTCTATTACCAACACCAGATACTCATACATACCCTACACACATAGATAAACTAGAGATGTAGCATGGAAGCCTGACTTTTTCTAAATGTTCAAACCCTCAGAACAAAAGCTGTTTTTTAACTTGATCTTTTGATCACTCAACTTGCTTTAGGGAAAAAAGGGTATTTTTTAATTTTCCTCTTCATCGCTTTCTCATCACATGTCACCTTGCTCTGGGTGATGCAATACTGCTTCATTAAAATATTTTTTTAAAACCTGAATGAAGTTCTGTAGCATCCCACTTACCACTCTTTTTCATTATGAATTATTTTATTCAGTGTTTGAAATGTTACTACTAAGACTGAATAACCAAAACTTATTTATTTACATTAGATTTGACCACATAATGCATTGGCTGTTAGTCAAATATGTGCAAAGTTTTCTATCTGTGCTAAGAATTTAGTGTTTAACTTTAATGTATTCCCTGTTTCAGAGAGAATATATATTAAATTTGGCAGTGCAGCGAGATGTATGTGTTTCTCTCTCTTCATGATATAGAGTCAGACCTCCATATCTATTGACTCTGCATCCACAGATTTCACCATTCGTGGCTTGACAGTGATATAGAAAATATATAGCATTTCAGAATATTCTGAAAAGCAAATATTGATTTTCTCATTTTATATAATGGACATCATTTTACTACAACAATAATGAGACTTGATCTTCAATAGATTCTAGTATCGGGGGAAGGGGGACCTGGAAGGTCAACCTCAATGGATACAGACAGTCCACTGAACAATTGTGGATTAAGATCAGACCTAACAACCAACTATGATGCTAGTATTTCTTGCATGTCCATGTTTATTCACATGTGAGGAAATGGTTTTTATAGTATGCTTCCATTATTTAGTAGAATCGGTGATGTCTTGTTGCATTCAAGTTGGTAAGTTATCTAAATCATAGTTGCTCAGTTATAGTTATTCAAAGCAAAATTTAACCATCTAGAACACTATAGCCCAAATTTGGCAATCTAAAAAACCCATCATTTGCAGAGATATTTTGTTGGACAAAATAAGAGACTTTTGGGGTGATGGACTGGGAAATCTATTGGATGCAAGCAAGTGCTTTGTGGCAATAATATGTTCTCCTTGGAGTAGAGATGTGATAAATAAATTCTAATAATTGGTTATTAAACCCATTACGTACATTTATATAGAAAATATCCTTCTCAGCTGACATCTGGACCACCCCTGGTTGACATTGAAAGCAGGGATAGCATAGTTTCTACATGTCACAGTTTAGCTGGGACAGTCCCCATTGTTCTTCTATTGTCCTGCTTTTTGGCTGCTTTTAAAGTGTGACAGTTTCTCCCTCTCTTCTCCACTTTTGTCCTTTGCTCTCAGATTACTAATTGCTGCAAACTGAGTTGAGAGTTTGCAAACGTCACTGGCACTCAATTGAGTCAGCAGTAGAGAGAGGAGTGGAGAGACTAGAAATGCACTCTTGAGAAGGCACAGCCAAAACACAATGCTGCAGCCTTAACCTAGCTTTTGCTTCCTTCCTCATTAATAGCTTTTATCATATTGACAACACTCTAATGTTTGTTCCAGTTTTCATTTGTAAAATGCTGGAGGGTATGGAATAGACAACCTACAACCCTCTAAATATTGGACTGCAATTCTCAACATAACTAGAAACTATGCTGGTTAGATCTAGTGGAACTTACATGAAATAAGCTACACCAAATAAGCCATGTTTTGCCAACCAGTAACCTATAGCAAGAGATTCCAGCTTTCCTCTGTGCAGGTTGTTTCATAGTGTTCATAGTTTATGAACTTTGGAATGCATTCTGCTTCATCTCCCTCTTTCATCTTCCACATGTTGGGGAAAGGGGTGATAATTAAAAGCATGAGCTGAGATCCAGCTAAGTCTCCTGTCTCTTTCTTGACCTCATTATTTGGTCTTAAGCCTGCCATGGTTTCTCAGCCTCCATCTGTAAAAATATTAGTCTAGTTTGTGGGCTTATTAATGAATGAAAGAATAATATAAAATACTAAATAGTATTACTAGCAATGGATCACAATCATACTGTGTCATGTTTTCCAGAGTAGCCCCTTTCTGTGGTGAGAAATTTCTGTCACAGTCAAAAAGTGTAAAAATACCTACAGTGTGGATTTCTGACATCCAGCTGTGCATCTTTATATTTCACTCCTTTTTCCTGGATTTCATCAAAGCCTTCCAACCTGTCAAGGTTCTCTTCCTCCTGATCCCTTCAGTACTGTCACTGCTGGGGACAAGACATAATATCTCAACTGTGATCTTAAATTCACTTGAGTCCCATTAGTGCTCAGTCTTGGAAGAAGTGCTGCTGTTGACGAAAACTAAAATGTTGTTGACCTGACTGTGCCCATAGCAGCATGCCACTGATTTTTCATCACTTATTCATTCTGGTCCCTGAATAATTCTCCAGATTATAACTCTGTACCTTATATACACAACTATAAATCAATATTTTGGATAGTTCAAGGGCAAGTTTGAGGCCAACAATTGTGGATTTTGCTTTGATCTGTGGAAAAATTGAGAGGACTTAGGTACATGTTACAACAATTTTTCCTCACTTTTAAAAAATGCATGGAGGGAGTGAATCAGAAGAGTAAAAGAGAAGGAGAGGAACTGTTTATTTGAAGGGTTATAATTTAAGAGCAGTGTAAATTGCTTTGGTGACCTTAAAATGCCTGCATCTATACAAATATAGATAAGAAAATAGCTATATTAATAAAAAAAAGATTGAGAACCTGACTGGGGGGGATAAGAGAAGAGCAAGAAAACAAGCTGCCTCTACTAGGGATCCAGCATGAAGGCAGCATAAAGGAGACAAGAGGCAGAAGTGACACAGCTCTACATGACACACAGTTTGAAAAGCTGTAACTGAAAAATAAATGAAAAAGTAATTTAAATGGTTAATAAATCAATTTAAGGGTTTTGTGTGCTCAAACTGAAAAATAAATGAAAAAATAATAAAAAAGTTTAATAAAGGAATTTAGGGTTTTTATGTGCCACCTTATGAGAAAACATAATTGCATCTGTTCACATAATAAAAGGGAATAAAAACACTAAGATAAAAACACAATAGATTTTACCAGCTCCAAACATTAAAAACATAATTTTAAAAATCTCAAGAGTTTTACCAGGTTAGCATTCCAGGAAGGCATTTGTCGTTTTCTTTCAAAACCAGTAGCTGTTCCGTAAAAAGAACAAAAAGATATGTCACTTGATGTATTGTTGCTGGCAAGGATGTCTACCCACAAAATAAGTTAATAAATTCTCCCTAGAGCAATAACCTCTATTTTCAAACCTGAATAATAAGGCCAATAAGCCCCAAGTTGAATTTTTTGGCAGAAAAGCAAGATATAAATCAGATAAATAAATAATAAAATGAGCTTTTGGATGTCATTTCTTCTGGTGGATTAAAATTTGGCTAATCAACACAAAGCACTGGTTTCCTAATTAATGTTACACATAGTGGTGGAATGACCAGGGTGTCAGCTTGCCCTATGGCAAGTGGGGCCCCTTAAACAATAGACAATATGTTGAAAATATTAATCACGTTTAATAGCTTGAAAAAGATAATAGAAGTTCCAATATTATTGCTGTATGCAACTAAAATTTGCATTATATAATGCTACTACTACTACTACTACTAATAATAATAATAATAATAATAATAATAATTTAATTGTATCTTTTCCCACTTATGTATTGTTTTAAGAATGTATTTCTTTCTAATTATTATTATTATTATTATTATTATTATTATTATTATTATTATTTCTTACCTGCCTCTCCTCACAGCTCGAGGTGGGCTACAACAGTGTAAATCACACATTCACCTAAAACTATTCTTTAAAATAAACATATTTAAACATATTTCCACAAGATACATATTAAAATACACAAAACAGAGATTAAACATGAGGTGCAAGTTTAAAATTCATCATTAAAACTGTCTGGGTAGGCCTACCAGAAGAGATAGGTCTTCAAATGTGTTTTAAATTCCAACAGCTCATTTCGCTGTTGGGGTTCTTCTGCCAAGTTGTTCCATAGCCTTAGGGCAGCTGATGAAAAGATTCTCTAAGTGATGGTTGCCAGTCTAGTTGTGGCAGGCTGGAACAGATGCCCCCCAGAGGACTTCAGTGTTCGGGGCGGATTATAAGGAAGAAGGTGATCCTTTAGGTTACCTGGACCTAAACCATATAAGGCTTTAAAGGTCAAAACCAACTCTTTGTACTTTGCCAGGAAAGTAATTGGCAGCCAGTGGAGTGTCTTTAGGATAGGTGTGATATGTTCATTCCTGGATGTTCCTGTAACCAATTTGATTGTCGTTTTTTGAACCAACTGGAGTTTCCGAACATGGTACAGAGGTAGACCAATGTAAAGCATATTGCAGAAGTCCAGTCTTGAGGTTACCAGGATTAAGATGCAGGTTGACTTCAGGTGTATCCATTTCCCATCTGCTGCAGGAATTTCTACTCTCATATGGTGGCAAAATATTTGCTTCCAACATCTAAGTTTTGCAATGGATCTACTTTTTTGACCAGTGTAGACAAGCCCTATGATATCCAGGCTGATAGTAACAATAATTGTATTTAATCACAGTTAATGTTGGTTTGATGCTGGTCTTACCCTGGTTAAAATCAGGTTTGGTTCTAAGTGGACTTAGTGCTGGACTTAGTGCTCCTTAAATCTCCTTACATTTTTTTTCAGATAATGATTAAAATATTGTTAATATCAATAAAAGAATTTAGAAGTTTTAGTGGACTACAGGACTAGAAGTGTTTTTAAGTTATAAAATTAATTAATTCCTTACTGATATGTTCCCATTAGGATGCTATTGTAATTCATGAAGTTTATGAGGAAGGTGCAGCTGCTCGAGATGGTCGACTTTGGGCTGGTGATCAAATTCTTGAGGTAAATTGCAAGTATTTCAAACTTGGAATTTTTCTATCTTCAATATAGAACTGGTGTATTTGAAGTTAAGATACACACATGGTTAAATTAATTGCATGTTCACCTAAACATGGAGTCTGTTATCTTCTTTATCTTAACCTATAAATTGGTACCATCTTTGCATAAGCCACTTAGTGAAGCTTGCTATTTTTCATTATCCTGTATTTTGGGATATTAGATAAGAAATAAGTAAGAAAAAAGTTTGTGCTTGATTAAAACTTAGAAAAAAGGAGTAGAAATCACTGTGGTTGCTGAGCGTCTGGAACCAGCTCACTATCACGTCAACAAAAAAATCCCAGCACACCTATTATGACTTCCATGAAAGGAAGTTAAGAAAACATAGAGGACCGATTGGGAATTGTTCTTAACAGCTCTTTCACATAATGTTTCTTATTTTCACTGTGCCTTAAAAAAACAAGTGTATTTCTTACCAGAATGCAATAAAAACAAGATGGACATAGCAACTTAGGCTTCATTGCCCTTTATGTGAATTCTTTAAGTGAATTTTGTGAGGGCAATGGATATGAGAGTAACCAAGCTTCCACAGCCACTAAGATAGTATATTTCAGAGTCTGGAATCAGCACTGATGACAACCCCAAAACAAACAACAAGGAGGGATATCCCACAGAGCTCAACCATACCAACAAATAGCACCTTCTACCTCCTCTCAGTAATCAAAAGAAACATATTAGAACCATGGCTGCTGCTGACAAACTACTAGACACAACAAAAGCCACAGTACAAAATTCAACAGCAAAAGGTTCTTCACTGTTTCCAAAAGGAGGTACTGGAATTAAGGCTATAAAAGACTTGGAGTGAGAGCGAAGGACCAGAAAGCTGCAAAAAAAAAAAAGGCATCATTTTAAAATCCGTAGGTATATAGCAATTACCGTCAAGTACAGAAACATTCAGGCAGTTTCACATTTTATAAGATCTTTGGATCTATGCAATCATAGTTCACTTGCTGTTCACCACCTGAACAGCAAGTGAACTATGCCTGCTGTTTTTACCTGGTTCTGTAATTATTTACCAAAGTATTAACATTATCTATCTCTGGGGCAAAGTTCTCCAGATGGCTAAATTAGATTATAAAATTGAAAATTTAAAAATCTAGATGGATATCACCCACTTCTAACTAAAATGTGCTATCTTGCATTTGAATTGGGAAGTTACCATGAATTTCAGGTCTGCGTCTATCAGGAATGGAAGTTAACCATATGCTTCAAGTTTTGTCATTTCAACCAAACAGGTTTTGCATTTGGCCATGGGCATTATACAATGAATGCCTTGGTTGTCCCTCTGAAACTCTGAGTTATTTTAAATATAACCTGAGTTTTGACAAAAAATTAAAGCTTGTGTGCCATCTATTGGAATCTGGAAAAATATTATTTTGCTATTCAAAGTACAGAATTGCATAAATGCAAAGAATACTGGTCTAAAATTAAGGTGAAAGGAATCAGAAATGTTTACTATCTTATGGGTTTGTTTTAGTAGATGTGGGAATAATACAGCTTGTTAGATATTATTGTACCGTAACTCCTAGCATTCTTTGCCATTTGCTGTTTTGCTATAGCAACTGAGACTAGCAGTTCAACTACATCTGAAGGACTGCTTGATTCCTATCTTTGTTATATATATTTTCTGTGCAGTGAACTTTTATGATGTCAAGTGATACTTATGTTTGAGTAGGATTACAGTCTTATTCAAACTGTTAATACATTGTGAATTCACACTAATACGTCGCTTAATGCTGGGAAACCTACAGTACAATTTCATGATAATCATCAGAAACTATCAATAGATAGTTTAAAAATAGATAGATTAAAAATGCTTTCGTCTACCCCATAGCTAAACCATCTTATGCATTAAAAGTTCTGAGCTTCTGCACTTGGACTCCATACGAAAATGTTACGTAATTATTTTATTTAGCTAAAAGTTCTCTTATTTCTCTCATTTCTTAAGAATAAGCATGTTGATTTATTTTGAGATGTTATTTGATGGGCCTAATTAGTACTACCAATCGGTAAGCAAGCAGAATTGCAGTTATATTATGCTGTTTTATTCTAGGTTAATGGTATAGACTTGAGGAATGCTAGTCATGAAGAAGCGATCACAGCCTTGAGACAGACTCCTCAAAAAGTTCAACTGATTGTCTATAGAGATGAAGCTCATTATAAAGATGAAGAAAATTTGGAGATTTTCTTTGTCGAGCTGCAAAGGAAAATGGGCAGAGGCTTGGGACTCAGCATTGTTGGGAAAAGGTAAGGATTGCAGCTAGCCATTGCTCTGCTGAGATCATTTTTAAAATAAAAAGAAAGCACTACAGATTGAGCCATAGTGTTCAAAGACAAAATATTCACCAAATGGGGAAAATTTGGGGAAAATATTTTCCCAGTTTGATCACAAGCATTTTGGATAAGGCACATTTAACCTTTATTAGCTTTATTGAGTTGTTTAAGGAATGCACAGAGAAGGAGCATGCTAGCCTCTCTCTCTTGTATTACCGATTCCATTGCCTTTGCATAAATCAGAAGAGAAGACTCTCTCTCTTGACAGTGAAGGCTCTTTTGATTACTTAAAATCTTCTTACCCTTCCCTCTGGTTTTTAGTAAAACCACATAACACATACCTATTCAGTGTAGTGAAAATATTCAGTGTAATGGAAATAAAATTTAGAGAGGCAGAAAGGACAATAAAGGAGATGCTTATTTCCAGATAGAAAGAGTAGAAGATACCATACTCACAAATGTATTTTCTATTTCACTTTTAAAGGAACAAACCAAGCAGTCGATAAGTGCTGTAGTGCAGTGTTCTGAATATATTTTGTGTGCAGTAAGATCCTTTGTCTGCACTTACTAGTTATCTGGCGGGGGGAAATTGTCTATTTGGTTCTTGAAATGATTCTATGTTATTCTTCTCAGATGTTACCATAGTCACCCTGGAGGACCTAGCATATTCCTAGAGAGGTTATTTCTCTCTAGGTCCTCCAGCATGATCCTATATTAGAACCAGACATTGATAATTTAATGGTGTTCTATCATATTTGCTCTTTCAAGTAAATGCAGTCCAGCTAGGAATGTATCCCCTGTACTGATATTTATTTATTCTAATATTTATGTCCTGCCTTTCACAATTTCAGGGTTGAACATAATGATAGCAACCTGACTAATTTGAACAGGTTAAAAGGAATGCTAAACATTTAAAAGTTGATTAAACAATTTCAAAAGTTTAAAACTTATTAAAATTGAAATTAAAAATTAAAACTGGTAAAATAGTTGAATATTACTTAAAACCATAATAATAATAACTTTATTTTTATACCCCACCTCCATCTCCCCCAAGGGACTCAGGGCAGCTTACATGGGGCCAGGCCCAACAGAGCAGTTAAAACAACACATTAAAATTCATGCCAACTATATATACACACACACACACACACACATAAAAAATACATCAAAACCAACAACCAATAGCAAAGTTCAGTGTCTCATTGTGGGTGGGCAGACTGGTGCCACAACATTAGAGGATAGAACTAATGTGTAAAGTGCAAATATCATATAGACTGCTATATGATGAAGATAAAACTAATGTGTAAAGATAAAACTAATGTGTAAAGTGCAAATATCATATAGACTGCTATATGATGAAGATAAAACGATTTACCATTAAGGATTTGGATATAGCAATCGTAAAGTGCCTGAGGACAAGATTTTTTGTTGGGGGGGGGGCGGGGTCCTAACTGGGGCCAGCTGTCTAAGAAATTGCCTAGCTAAAAGCACAAAAACAAAAAACCATGTACCAGTGAAGTTTTGTGAAAAACCAGTTAGACCCAAAGACTTCAGGGAACAGCCGGTTGGTGCTGGAAGGATGGCAGTGTTGGCAACATTGTGGTTGTGGTGATAGTGAATAATATGGCCATATAGAAATAAATCAGCACAGTCACTTTAAGACCAGAGTGTAGCCATGTTTGTGCAATAATACATGTGCATTTTTCTTTTTTAGAAATGGAAATGGAGTATTTATCTCTGACATTGTCAAAGGAGGAGCTGCTGACCTAGATGGGAGACTAATTCAGGGGGACCAGATCTTATCTGTTAATGGAGAGAATGTAAGGCATGCTTCCCAAGAGATGGTTGCCACCATTCTTAAGGTGAGTGCATTTTACATTTGTGGATACTAAATGCTTGTAAGCATAATGAAGTCTAATTATACTGTACTACTCTTTTTAAAACAGCATTGTCGCATTTGGATTTCCTGAATGCCAGGATCATGCACTAAGAAGGGGGTTGGGCTTGATGGTTCACTTCCAAGTCTATAATTCCATGAATATTTTTCAGAGGTCTTACTGTGGTGTCCACATACAAGATCAAAAGGTTTCTGCACATGAGAAACAGATACTTTCTGGTAGTGATTTTTTGCAGTATTGAAAATGAATTGATGTATACTCTGAAAGAAACAGAAGATAGAAATGTGTATGAATTATTAAGTAGACTATTTTCAAGATAATTGCATCAGGAAGCATAAAATTTAGGCATTTATTTTTGATATATGTTTGCTGTTGTTAGGACACAGAAGCACTACAAAAGTGGAAAAACATGAATAAAAATACTCCCTTATATTACCCAAGAGAACACTTTCTAGGAATTGCTAAGTCCTCCAGTGAGTCTCTATGATCAATTTACACGGGACAACTTTATGGTGTTTTCTCTAGGAATATCTAGGCCCTCCAATCAACTTCTGACTGGAGAACCGAGAGATTCATGAAGAGATCATATTAATCAAATACGCAGACTAAAAATGTAAAATTAAATCTGAAAACATGGAGGGCCAATGTATATCCATCTTGAAATATTTGATAAAACCATAAAAGATGTAGCAGAGTCACAAGTGTATGGTTATTTATACATCTGACATAATCAGATTTCTGTCCTGAGAGCTGTCTAAGCATCCATGTATGGTGCAGTTTTTTTTAATCTGATTGATTTGTAATATGTTCATTAATGTTGGAGGCAAAAAGATTTGATGAATCAATAGTATTAAATGCTATATTGTACATGTATCATTTATGTTTTTTAGTGGCATAATATAAATTGTGCTCTAACCTAGGATTCTTTCTGAAGCACTAAAACAGCATGGTGTTCTACAGGCAGGGACTGTTTGACATAAAAGAAAATTCTATCATGCACTTCTCCCACCAAATTTTGGAATGGTACAATCTGTTGATGACTGTACCAGTTGCTTTTCCTGAAACTGAAAGTGGCCTGTTGTTCTTCTGGGAAAAAGTTCAATTTTCCTGCTTTAAATTCTGTGTGTCAGGTTAATTGCAGCATTGCCAATGATTGCTTGGGGAAGAAAACATGGAATAAGTGTTAACTTAATCTTGCCCAATAGATCTATTTTTAAATAATGAATGCACTATAAAATGGTTGTGCTCTATTCAGGGATGTAACTGGGGGGTTTTAATATCCAAAGTGTGCCTGGGAAAAAGAAAGCTTTTCTATACAACATGCTGTGTGTGTTTTTTTCACATGTGAAGTGTGCTCAAGGGCTTGTGCAGCTGGAAATTGGACGGCTGAGAGCTGGATCTTGGCCATCATCACGAAAAACATCTCAAAACAGCCAGGTCAGTGGCACTTGTATCATAAAAAAGTATTTGTGGTGACTTTGGTGTGTGATTGTGAGCACTGGGGTTTAGAATACAGTTATAGATACTAGGCAAGAGTCTGGAAAAGATTGTTAAGGAGGTGGTCTGCAAACACTTAGAAACAAATGTGGTCATCACTAATAGTCAACATGGATTTGTCAAAAACAAGTCATGCCAGACTAATCTGATCTCTTACAAGCTGGGTAGATGCAGGGAATGCCGTGGATGTGGCGTACCTGGATTTCAGTAAGGCCTTCAACAAGGTCCCCCATGACCTTCTGGCAAACAAACTAGTCCAATGTGGGCTAGGCAAAACTACGGTTAGGTGGATCTGTAATTGGTTAAATGGACGAACCCAGAGAGTGCTCACCAATGCTTCCTCTTCATCCTGGAAAGAAGTGACGAGCGGAGTGCCGCAGGGTTTCGTCCTGGGCCCGGTCCTGTTCAACATCTTTATTAATGACTTAGAAGGGTTAGAAGGCATGATCATCAAGTTTGCAGATGACACCAAATTGGGAGGCATAGCCAATACTCCAGAGGACAGGAGCAGATTAGAGAGATGGGCCAAAACTAACAAAATGAAGTTCAGCAGGGACAAATGCAAGATACTCCACTTAGGCAGAAAAAAACGAAATGCAATGATACAGAATGGGGGACGCCTGGCTCGAGAGCAGTACATGTGAAAAAGATCTTGGAGTCCTCGTGGACAACAAGTTAAATTGAGCCAACAATGTCATGTGATGGCAAAAAAGAACAATGTGATTTTGGCCTGCATAAACAGGAGCATAATGTCTAGATCTAAAGAAGTAATACTACCCCTCTATTCCGCTTTGGTTAAACCATACCTGGAATATTGTGTCCTATTCTGGGCACCCAATTGAAGAGAAATATTGACAAGCTGGAAAGTGTCCAGAGGAGGGCGACTAAAATGATCAAGGGTCTGGAGAACAAGCCCTATGAGGAGCGACTAAAAGAGCGGGGCACGTTTGGCCTGAAGAAGAGAAGGCTGAGAGTAGATATGATAGCCATGTATAAATATGTGAGAGGAAGTCACAGGGAGGAGGGAGCAAGCTTGTTTTCTGCTTCCCTGGAGACTAGGATGCGGAACAATGGCTTCAAACTACAAGAAAGGAGATTTCATCTGAACATGAGGAAGAACTTCCTGACTGTGAGAGCCGTTCAGCAGTGGAACTCTCTGCCCTGGAGTGTAGTGGAGGCTCCTTCTTTGGAAGCTTTTAAACAGAGGCTGGATGACCATCTGTCAGGGGTGCTTTGAATGCAATATTCCAGTGTCTTGGCAGGGGGTTGGACTGGATGGCCCATGAGGTCTCTTCCAACTCTATGATTCTATAGCCATGATTCAGACAGTTGCTGTTGTTGACAAATCCAGATTAATGTGGCAGAGGCCCTGGAATATCCCCAAATATGGATCCCCTTTGGTCATATGTGTGAGCTACTCTAGGAGTGGTGTCATATAAATTAAATTGTGCAGTAGACATCAACAAAAATGTATCTTATTTCCATCCACAGCATGAAATAATAGGACCTAATAATGCACGACTATGAAACACATTTTAAGATAGGCAACCCATCAATTAAGAATGCTGGACAAGTGCTGGATATGTTCACCCCATCTCATACTGTTGAAAAATGACTCTTTCCAATCCAGGAATGTTCCACTATGTCATTGTCTTCCTTGTTTTCTCCCTGGAGCTTGCAAAAGCACACAACTATGGGACCTCATGATAGTGCCGTTCTTTTGTCTCAACAAACTTTTTATTTTTAAGAAGCAGAGCAATTTCAATGTTTAAAAAATATATTTTAAAAGGAAACAAGACAAAGAGGAAAACGTTTATGGCTTTACTCGTGGTCTTTTTCTGACTGCCACTGGTATTATACTGCTAGTCGTTTTGGAAAAGCGGGATAAAAAGACAATTCCAAAACACAATTCAGAAGATATGTCACTGGGACAGACAGTGATTGGCAGACAGGTCTGCCTATCACAGACAAAAAGTCTGTGCTTCTGACTTGCGCAATGAAATTCAAAACAATTGAAGTCAATTGTTTCCTTTTTTCATAAAATGCTTGCAGCGGACTCCTTGCTTACGAGTGCCTACAAGTTACCAACAAAATGAGCCTTTCATCACGTAATTAAACCCATTGGAACCATTAGGCAAAGAGCATAAGAAATGGGTATAAGTGTTGTGATAAGGTCCATAATGTGTTTATTTTGCCTTTTAACTTTGAAAGCATTGTGGCTACTAATGTACAGGAGAAATAACTGAAACAAGTCACTGTGTATCAATATTATGTTTCACATTCAGCAACAATAAGGAAAAGGATTAATATAGTCTGAGCTAGAATTTCACAGGGGATTTAGTGTGTTGACATATAAAACAGTCTATCATGGTAACAGAAGGCACATTTATTCTATCTTTCTCTCCTTAATGGATTTTCCACTGTAAAAATGAAGATAACAGTAAAACAACAGTCAAAGGTTAAAAGCATTTCTTGTCAGTTTTACTAATTTTGTTTTGTGGGGACTATTCCTCTAGAATTGCCCTACCTGATTAGGAGATTATGGAAGCAGTAGTAGTAGTGGGCTGGGGACTTTTCCAAGCTATGCTCCCAAACATAGGAAGTTGTCCTTTGATGTTTCCATAAAAGTTGGTGAACAAAATACAGAATGATAAAATCAGAAATTGAATTCTCGATTGTTCTTGCTTCCTTCTTGTGCCATTGTCATCTTCATGCTCTTTTATTGTAGGCCTCCAATTTCCAAGTATGTGCGATATTGGTAGGTTACATACCTGTGACCATCTTTCTTCGAGTGGTGCTCTGCGAATTCACACTTGTGGAGAGACTGCGCCTGCGCGGGCTCCAACGGAAACTTCTACATTTTAAAACTTTTCAAGTTTTGGCGGTAACCCCGCCCAGCCCCGGCAGGGGATAAAAGGGCGCCCCGCGCACACCGATCCAATTCCTACACCGCTACAGTAGCGAGAAATTGGAGGTTTGCTTTGAGGGGAGGCTGGGCGGGTTAGTGTGAATTCGCAGAGCACCACTCGAAGAAAGATGGTCACAGGTATGTAACCTACCATTTTTCTTCGTGGTCTCTGCGAATGCACACTTGTGGAGACTAGCAAGCTCAGGTCCCGGAGGCGGGAAGAAGGCAAACCGACTATTCAAGTCAAGGACCAAACAATTTTATTAAAGTGCAAACAGTTACCAAACAATAGATTGCAATCACTTCCGAAGAAGGGCACAGTGCATAAAGCTTATGGGAGTACGTGATCCTCCCGGTCACGTGAGGGTGACCCATCTACAGTGAAAGACACTCAATAAATGAGGGCATTCTTAAACAATTAACACAAACTTTTGACCCTTGGAAACAAACAACATAGTCATTGTTGAGGACACTCATTGCGATGAGGGCACATTAAGTAGTTACACAAAACAGTTTTATCAACAAGTGCAAAAAAACACATTTGTAAGGTAAAGGTGTCAATACCGACACAAAGCGCTACACGTAATGTAACCACTAGGCCACAGTGTAAGGTTGCCTGCGCCCCAGGCAGTAAGGCATCAAGTGTCAAGGTGCAATTACATTTACCCGCACCGGAAAAGGTTGCAATTCAAGTAACAAATCTGGTAATAACATTCACAGTAATATACGGTACCGGAGAGGTTCATGGTACCGACAGAATGCAGAAAAACTTTGCAAAGTTTTAAGGCGGACACGATCCCAGGATTGCCCTCCCAAAGGCCATGTCAGGTGTATACCTGGTATTCAGTCTATAATGTGAAACAAATGTTTGAGGATTTTTCCAAATGGCCGCTTTGCAAATAGCGTCCAGGGGAATCCCCTTAAGGAAGGCTGTCGATGCCGCCATTGCCCTGGTTGACCAAGCCCGGACAACCGAAGGGGGTTGTTGTCAAGCCAGCTGGTAACAGAGCTCGATGGTCGAGGTGATCCAGTGAGACAAGCGTTGCGCCATAATCGGCAAGCCCACTTTATCCTGGGCATATGCCACAAACAGTCTTTGAGTCCTTCGAGACTGAGCAGTTCTGTCCCTATAACACAATAATGCTCTCCGCACATCGAGCATATGAAGTCTTTTTTCCCCCGGGGTAGAGGGAGACTGGCACAACGAGGGAAGGACAATGTCTTCATTAACATGGAACGGGGACACAACTTTAGGGAGAAACATCCCGTCTGTGCGGAGAACTGCCCTGTCCTCGTGGACGACAAGGTATGGTTCGTCCACACGCAGTGCCGCAAGTTCCGAGGGCCTACGGGCCGAGGTGATAGCGACCAGAAAGGCCACTTTCCAGGATAGGAGTCGAAGGTCGATCGACACCAAGGGTTCAAATGGTGTCTGTGCGAGCCGAGCTAACACAAGGTCGAGATCCCAACCCGGAGTCGGGGGACGGACTGGGGGGTGCAGGTTGTTGAAACCCCGCAGGAAAGACTTCACAGAGCTATCCTTAAATAAGGAAGCTTCTCCTGTCCGTTGAAGCTGCCAAGAGATGGCCGCCAGGTGAGACTTGAGCGACGACAGCGACAAGCCCCGTTCGGTAAGGTGCAACAAGAACGAGAGAATCGACGGTACCGATGGTTGATGATCGTCCAGGCCCTTTTCGGAGAGGAAGGCCTGGAAACGGTTGAGGCACGCCGAATAGCACCTTTTAGTTGCTGGTTTGTGAGCTGCATCCAGGATTGGAAGAACTCCTGGACACAGGGACCTCAACCGGATCCTCCACGCCGAAAGATGCAGAGAAGCGAGGTCGGGGTGGAGAAGCTGACCGTCTTCCCGGGAGAGCAGATCCTGCCGAAGTGGAAGGCGCCTCATCCGTCCCTCGGATAACTGGAGAAGGACCGAGAACCACGGTTGTCGTGGCCATTCCGGCGCTATCAAGATGCAGTTCGTTTGCGCCGACTGGATCCTTTCGATCACCCTCGGGATGAGCGGGAAGGGAGGGAAGAGGTAGAGCAGATGTCTCGACCAGTCGAGAAGGAACGCGTCTCCGAGACACCCCGGTACCGTGTTCGGAGCAAGCCGAGCACCGAACTGCGGAAGCTGAGCGTTTTGCGGCGACGCGAAGAGGTCTGCAGCTGGGAGGCCCCAATCCCTGAAGATCTTGGCCAGTTCGTCGGGGTTCAACCTCCATTCGTGAGAGGTTGACCTGGTTCTGCTGAGTGCGTCCGCCTCGACGTTGGTCTCGCCCGGGAGGTGTAGAGCTGTTATTGACACCGACCTGGCTACGCACCAGTCCCAAAGTTCCAGTGACAGCTTGAGGAGTTTTCTCGAGCCCGTTCCTCCCTGCTTGTTCACGTAGAACATCGCTACCATATTGTCCGTGAGGATCTGGACAGACTTCCCCGTGACCAGGAGGGCAAATGCCCTCAGGGCCTTGAAGATTGCCAGCAATTCCAGATAATTTATGTGGCACTGTCTTTCTTGTGGAGACCAGAGGTCGTGGACTGAGAGTTCTCCTGTATGGCATCCCCATGCGAACATCGAGGCGTCCGTCGTGATCGTGACGGCCGGGGGCTCTGGGTGAAATGGAATGCCCCTGCACACATGCTGGCGGTTCATCCACCAGCTTAGAGAGTCCTTTACCGACTTCGGTACCAGCAGGCGCTTCGCGGCACTGTCCCGCATGGGATTGAAATGGTCCAAGAACCATCTCTGGAGGGGACGGAAGCGGAGCCTCGCCAACGGCGTCACCATCACCGTGGAGGCCATATGCCCGAGGAGGACCTGTATCTGCTTTGCTGGGACGACTCGGGCTCGACGAACTTTGAGCGCTTCGGCTCGAAGAGCCCTGAATCTCTCTTCTGGAAGGAACACTGACTGGGAGAGAGAATCGAACATGGCGCCTATGAACTTTATGCGAGTGGTGGGCTCGAGATGAGACTTCTCCTCGTTCAGCTGGAGGCCCAGGTCTTCGAGGAGGGAAAGCGTTCTTGCCACCTGAGTTCGCAGGAGGTCCGGGGAGCGTGCTGCCAACAACCAGTCGTCTAAGTATGGGAAAATGCGGATTTTTTCCCTTCTGAGGGCTGCTGCGACCACCGACATGCATTTGGTGAAAGTTCTCGGTGCCGTTACGAGCCCGAATGGAAGCACATTGAAGGCATAGGACCGTCCCGCTACCCTGAAAGCCAGGAAGCGTCTGTGGTGTTTTCTGATTGATAGATGGAAGTAAGCGTCCCGGAGATCGACGGACGCGAAGAAGTCTCCGTATCTGAGGAGAGGGAGTATGGACGATACCGTCACCATCCGGAACTTTTGGGGTTCGATGAAGGAGTTTAAGTCTCTGAGATCGAGGATTGGGCGGAGGGAGCCATCCGGCTTTGGGACAGTAAAGTATCTGGAAAAGAAGGCTCGATGGTTTTGAGAGTCCAGGAGAGGGGAAATGGCCCCTTTCAGAAGCAAGGTCTCGACTTCTGTCAGAATTGCCGAGGATGGTTCGGTATCGACAATCTGTCCCGTTGGTGGGAGCTCCTCGAACTCCAATGCATAGCCTTCGTCGACAATCTTTAAAACCCATGCATCTGAGGTGGTATTTTCCCATGCAGGGAGAAAGTTCGTTAAGCGATCTCCGAACGGTGTCGAGCCGGATGGAAGGATGAGGGCAGGTACCATTGGAAGGGACATGGGAAGAACATCTGTAACGCAAGTGTAAACGGTATCGTCCATTAGGGCGTCAAATGCGGCGCCTGGCCTGATTGCCTCCTGAAGCTTGGCGGGATCGTGAACGCTGCTGCTGGTGCTGCCTCCGTTGTTGTTGGGGTTGTTGAGGGTGGGTTTGTTGGGAGGTATGCAGGGGACGGGCAGGCTGGCGGTACTGTATGGTGCGGTACGGGACCGTGTGCCGACGCTTGTACTGGAACCATCTGGTTCTCTGTGCTTGGTTTTGATTTTCGAACCCGCACTTCGAAGCTAGGGTCTTGAAGTCGTGATTTGACTTCAACTTGTCGTCCGTCCCGGCATTGAAAAGCCCTAGGGCATCAAACGGAAGGTCCTCGATCACCTGCCTCGATGATGTAGAGAGGCCAGAGGATCTGAGCCAGGCATGCCTCCTGATTGCCACGGCGTGGGCGATCATCTTGCCCGCAGTGTCTCCTGTGTGTTTGGCCATCTGCATCTGGTGATGCGCCAAAGAATTCGCCTCTTGAGCCAGGGTGGAAAGGGCAGTACGATCCTCCTCAGACATTCTCTGGAAAAATGGTGCTGCTTTTTCCCAGAGAATTTGTTGGTATGCGCCCATACAAGCACCATAGTTCGCCATGCGGGCTAGTAAGAGGGCACCGGAGTAGAGCTTCCTGCCTACTGCGTCAAATCTCTTCCCTTCACGGTCGGACGGCGCCGACGATTGCCTCCCGAACCCCTGAGCCGCCTTCACGACCACCGAGTTGGGATCGGGATGGTGTTTCAGCCACTCCAAGCCCTCATCGTCCGTTCTGTACCATGATTCAATTTTCTTAGAGGTTGGAGGGATGGAGGAGGGGGTCTTCCAGGAGCCCTGGATCACTTCGAGGAGGTAAGGGAGGAAGGGTAGAAGAGGAGCAGGTGGAGACTCCGACTGCACCCTCTTGAACACCGGGTCCTGTACTGCCTTGGAAGTCTGTTTGACCTCCAAGCCTAGAGCATCAGCCATGCGAGCCATTTGATCCGCAAAGGCTCGGACATTGTCAGTGGGAGATGGTGGATCCACTTCATATGCATCATGAGTGGGTGATCTCTCGATCCCGAGAGATAACACGGACCCCGAGTGAACCGATCCCGGTAACTCGCCATCTTCCTCTTCGTCATCAGCAGCCACGGATTGGGGAGGAGGGGATGAGGAGACATCCCGGCTCGGGCGTTGCAGTGGAGCCGCTGGAGGGGCTTTTGAGGCCGAGGCCTGAATAGCACGGGCCAGTCTCATAGTCTGCCTGCCCCTTTCTGGAGTCTCCAACAATGGAGAAGTCTCCTGTCTTGCCATCACAGTTGTCAAGGACGTGACCGACGGGAAAAGCTCCTGTCTGGCTGTCACATGTCGAGTTGGTGCCTCGATCACCGTGTCCACCGAGATCACCGGGGACTCGGGTTGTTCCAAAGGCAGTTCTGGCAGCGGTTGTGGCTCCTGAGCAGGCTGAGGGGCCAGCTGAGGTTGAGCAGACTGCAACGGCGATGACCTCGCTGACGAGGTGGCCGAGGAGGCGGTGGTCTGCTTTCGGGAAGAAGAAGAAGACGAGGATGGAGGCGGCATCGTCTTCTTCTTCTTCGCCGGCGGCTGTGTTGTCTTCGACAGAGACTTGCCCGGGGTGGGCGGGACGGAGGATGAGGTGGAAGCACGCCGAGATTCTTCTTGAGACCGGCGAAAGGCGATGCGAACCGCCGTGGAAGATGGCGGAGTCGCCGATGTCGACCTCGTGGACCTAATCGACCTCACCGACGCCACCGAGCTGGTCGAGGAGTGTCGAATGCGTACGGTCTCAGTCGTGACCGTGCATGGAGCCTTCTGCTTCGAAGGCTTTGCGGCCTTAGAAGCTGTCGACACCGAGGCCTTGGAGGCTGTCGACATAGCTGCTCTCGGTCTTTTCTGTGCCGCCTTTTTCGCCCTTGTCTGGCGAGGCTCGGCCTCAGTCGAGGGATCGACGGATTTTGATGTCGATGCCTCCTTCGACGTCGATGTAGATGTCGATGGCCTGGATACCACGGCTGACGTCGACGCCGATGTCGATGTTGAAGGTACCGGAGCCAACGTCTGCTGGTACAAAAGGTATCGAAGCCGATGAACCCGGTTCTTACGGGACTGTGCCGTCAACGATTGACAATGACGACACGAGGAGGTGATGTGTGCCTCTCCGAGACACAAAAGGCAAAGAGCGTGCTTGTCCGAATCAGGGATCTTCCTCGGACAATTCGCGCATCTTTTGAAGCGAGTTGTTGACATAATAATGTCGAACAACTCGAAGAAATCTCTATCTAACAATATCCAACAATAGAAGTATCGAAGCGAGCCGTGCGGCGGAAAAAAAGGAATTGGATCGGTGTGCGCGGGGCGCCCTTTTATCCCCTGCCGGGGCTGGGCGGGGTTACCGCCAAAACTTGAAAAGTTTAAAATGTAGAAGTTTCCGTTGGAGCCCGCGCAGGCGCAGTCTCTCCTACAAGTGTGCATTCGCAGAGACCACGAAGAAAAACTTGATTTCCCTGAACTATTGCACTGCTCAGTTGCTTGGTGAACATGTGTAATATTATTTCTTTGCCTTTCCTCCGCTGGTCCCTTGAGTTCCGGCAAGTTCAGAGCTATTGTTAATGAATTCTCCATACACCCTATGACACACTAATCCACATTCTAGAGGCATTTCATTGGCACTCTGTGGTCTGAAAAATCAGTTTTACTTCGAGCAGGTTTTATTTGCTACTAGCAAATTGCTAGACATGGTCTTTTGTCAACCAAGGCGTGATAGCTAGGATCAAGATATGTTAGAACATTTTTAAAGGGAATACAGGCATTGTCTGTCATACACAAAATGTCTAGTCTGTCAAAGATTTAACTAAGTTTAGAAGAGGGAAGAGGAATTAGGTTAAATTAATTCTCACTTATTAAGACAAAACAGAATTGTACTTTGTGTCCATGCCTGTTTTGAAGCTATTTTAAATGCAGATATTGACAAAGAGAGACAGATGGTTCCATGTAATTATTTTTTTCTGTTTAAATGTTTATAGATATTATAGAGTGAGTAATATTATAATTTTGCCACTCAGTCTAGAAGTATATCCAGTGATATAACAAGGAAGTCTTGCATGTCTTGATTTTGATTTATAGATGCCATAGATGTATAAGAAATTTCCAGAGCATTCCCTTTGTGATACTGTAATGTATTGTATATATGCTTGCTTTCAAAAACTTTGGTACAAAATACAGGTAATTTTTTTCCTGGAGCCTTACTGAAACTACTTTTGTTTTTCAGATAAACCAACACAACGTTCACAGTCACTTTCACCCTACACTTGCTCCAGTGATCTCCACTCTACAGAATTTTGTCAGCACTAAGAGATCATCCACTGATGTTTTTCACAAAAGTTCAGGTTTGGGGCAGAATGTACAGCCAGTAACTGAGAATTATAGTACAAGTTTCATTTCAAAATGTATTGGCATTTAGATCTCGCAATTGACAAAAGGTGATAATACCTGATAGTTGGAAGGGTGGGGAAAACCTGCGGAATCAGTGGGAATTTGGTGAGCCAGCACTTCTGTAACTTCCACTGATTTAATTGGTGTGTTCTTGTCATGGTTAACACTTGAGATCTGTTTCTGTGTGTTTTTCTTAAGTTCAACCTGTAGCAAGGAAGAAATGTCTGGAGGTCCAAAAGAAAATATGATCCCAAAACATATATTGACTATAGTTTGGGATTATGAGCATTGATGGCACCAGTAATTTATAGCCTGTTAAGGATGCTTCTTAGCTGGTAATGGAATATAGAGTGGGTTATTAACAGATTTTCATATTCAATCTATTAGCTTCCAAAGCAAATTATTATTATTATTATTATTATTATTATTATTATTATTATTATTATATTTAGCAGTAGTAGTAATAGTAGTAATAGTAGTAGTAATGGTATTAATAGTATTGTAACTAGTATTGCCTAAGTACTAGTTGCATTCTATTTGGAATGGTTCATATCCATTTTAAATCCAATTGCCAAAGTTGCTTATAGGCTGCTTATAGATTGAATATGAAAATCTTCAAGATACAAATTATGTATTAGTGTGTTGGTCTGTTCCTTTTTTTCTACTAAAAAAAATAGTATAAAACATTAAATGTTCAACTAATATAGTTTCCCCCCATGTATTAGCAGTTGATTCTAATAAATAATTTATTTCACTGTTTAAAGTAGTGAAGTATCATGGTATTTATGCTGTGATTAATCTGATGAAACAATCTTTTTTCAAATGAAATTATATCCATAGTATTGGGCCAAGATGTACCATAATAATTCTGTGTGTTTTATAAATTTGGTAAATTAGACTTAAAGAACTGGCTGTTGGAGTGATTTGAGCACTGGACTAGGACTCTCAATACCAGGATTCAAATCCTTGCTCAATCATGGAAACCTTGTGACCTTGCGCAAATTACATTCTCTTGGACCCGCACCCCTGAAAAAATATAGGGTTTCAAAATGATGAACCCGTTTTCAAAGCAGTATATTTCAAGATGGAAACATGTTATCATTCCATAAAAAGTTATAAAACAGTTTAATGAATTATAAAGTTATTGTTTTATTTTTGAGCTAGAAGCAAATCTAAAAAATAACCCCTCACACATGGAGAATATCCCATTAGGCCATGTTGCCATCTTAGAAATGACTGAGGCTGGACACTATTTGTGCTCTGAAAAAGGCATCTAGCAGCAATTATTAGAAACTCTATGCCTCACCCTTTCAAGTGATAAGACTCATTCATGGGAGGCTCATAATTGCAGAGATATAGCCATTTCAAATTGGGTCCATCTGTTTGAAACATACTGTATTGTCAAGAAAAGCTCATGATAAATATCCCTTATGATCATCATAATTCAGAAATTATTTGAATGCACACAACAATAACAAACTAGTCTGAGTATTGCTTTCCATTTCAGCAATTCATAGCTCAAGGAGTAAAGTATGCTCTCAGTAAAGCAATTGCTATATTGAGACCCAAGGCCTAAAAACAGCAAAGTGCAGATTTTGACAAATTATAATTATCAGCATTCCTTATAGTTAAGGAACTGCCTATCCTGATTGGGGTTGATGGTAGATGTAATCTAACAACTTTATCCATGCCTGCTAGAGAAGATAATAAAAAAGCCAACAAAAGAATATCGATTTCATAGGATAGATTGCTAAGATTTCATACGACTTTATGGGCTATAGAGACCATAGTTTTTTCATGTTGTTATAGATTAATTACATCAATTAATTGTTTGTTTGTTTTTTAGTTGGAGTAGACATGAATCCAAGGACGGTGGTGATAACAAGGGTCAGTGACTTCTTCTCATGTTATAAAACGATTGATCTCTTATTACAAGGAAAAGGTGTTACATTTATTTCAAGGTGTAAAAGTATGTGAACACTTAATGAGTGCCAGCAAATTTTTCTTTATTGGGTCCAAAGACTGCAAAAATGTCTCAGGGGCGGCATAATCTTTACCTCTAGAATACTTCTTTTTAGTTAATTGTTCACAAATGACTTACTCAGGGATAGGAAACATGAGGCCCTCCACCTCTGTTGCCATATTTCAATGGGAGTTGCAGAAGACAACATATATCACAACCCTGACTTATTATAAAGTTTACCTTTCATACTATATGTTTTGAATGGTGGCAAAACAAGTGGTTTTGACAATGATCTCTCTATTAAGGGTCCAAATGATGCTCTTGGTATCAGCATAGCTGGTGGCAAAGGAAGCCCTTTGGGAGACATTCCAATCTTCATTGCCATGATTCAAGCCAGTGGAGTAGCAGCACGTACACACAAGCTCAAAGTAAGTGAAAGGAGAAAGAGGGAACATTTTCTTCATATATACAGTCAGCACTCCACATTAAAACTTTTAACTTTTGTGGATTTGGGTTTTTATTAATGAGTCATTCTAGAGAACCTAGAGATTTCTAGAAAGTTAACTTATCTAGGCATTTGTAGAGCTTCCAGCACAATTCTTGTGTGATTCTGGAAGACCTACAGATTGCTAGAGAAGTTTCTTTCAGAAATTTCTATTTATTTATTTATTGCATTTTTTCACTTTTGCAGAAATGCTGCACGTTTGCCCTCATAGAAGGTTTCTTTTTCCGCCTAGTGTTTCTTCTCACCTCAAGAGACAAGAGACTTGTTGTTTGAAGAATTGTATTGTGTTCTAGATGTTTTGATAGATGCCCATGTATCCATTTCCATTTTTTCCATTTATGATTAAAGATATTTAGATAATATCTAATAAAATATAATTAAATAATAATAAAAGATAATTAAAGACAATTAAAGGTGTTAGTTAATGTTGTGATTGAGTGTGTTAATGGCAGTCAAGGGAAACTGTTTATTTGTGTCCTATTATGTCTGAAATCAAAGCCATACATTAATGAATGTCCTTTCATCATCCACTAGCATGAAACTGGAATTTTGTAGACTTCTCTTCTTAAGATGCCCTCTAATCTAATATTCCTTGCTTCCAAAAATTTTAAAGAATGTAGGACCCCTTTTCTGTTTGTTTCAGTTTTTTAAAAATACACAGAAATATGCCTCCTGTTTTCCTCCTCCAAACGAGCTCAGGATACCCATCTGATTGGCATCATAAAACAAAAACATCAAGAAAATACTCATAGTTAAAAATAGTAACAGTAATTAAAACTAAGCAGTTTGACACAAGGAACATATATCTTTTAGAATTAATGCACTTTAACTACCATGGCTCAATGCTATGGAATCTTGGGAGTTGTAGTTTGATGAAACATTATCAATCTTTGGAAAAGAAAACTCAAGGTATTGTAGAAGGACAACTGGCATAATACCATAGCATTGAGCCATGGTAGTTAAAGTGATGTCAAACAGCATTAATTCTACAAAGTAGATTACCTATGGTTAGTATACGGAGGGGAGAATAGCCAGGATTGCCAAGTAGGCCTAGAACAGTATCCTACCTAAAACCCAGGAGAGTTACTGTTAGTCATTGTTGACAAAACCAAACCAATGGTCCAAGTCATTGTAAGGCAGTTTCCTATGTTCCTCTAAGTAATTAGTACATCAAGAATTTCCATATATGAGTCATTGCTACAGAGAAAAGCCCTATCAGCTACACCCTTGTAGCCAACTGTAGAATAGAAGATCATTCCATCTGGCATTATATAGTGGATAGATTGACATGAACATGGGGATAGACTTTTGGATTGCTTATTTCCAAACTCTTTAGATCATTAAAGGTTTACAACTTGCTGCTAGCTATAACCAACGTTTTATGTGTCTATTGCAGCCATTGCAAGTGATATGATAAATATATCACTTTGCCCCAAGCATTTTCCAACAATTGATGTTTCTGAATAGCTTTCAACAGAAATTACATATCTGAACTATGAAACAAATGCATGTGGACTCAAGGCCCAATATTACCTTATCATGAAGGCTCCGTTGGCACACTAGCTGAACCCAGACAAAAACACTCTTAGAATTTTGTGGTAGGTAGGCTGCTACTTCTAGAGAAAGGGTTTTGTTCTGAGTATGAAGAACACTCAGTGAACAGTGAAGATAAAAATTGTCTTTCTGTCACTGAACAAAGTGTCTAGCAGCACCAGAATTGCAAGAAATGTTAAGCATTCTTCCTATTTTCCTTAAAGCTAGTAATTTTTCTGTTACAATTCTGCTTCCCTTACCCCCACTCTTAGGTTGGTGATCGGATTGTCAGTATTAATGGACATCCATTGGATGGGCTATCTCACGCCGATGCAGTTAATCTACTGAAGAATGCTTTTGGGAGCATTATCCTGCAGGTAGGATGATAAATCAAACATGCGGCTGCACAAGGATAGATAAATGGTGTTTTTAAAGAGAAGATTGAGCATCACTGGCACAAGACTTCACAGAGCAGCAGGGTGCTTCTGGATGTGAATTATGCAAGATGACAGCAAGAAATTATTTCATTCAAGGTGCTTTATTCTTGCTCATGCAGCCTATGAGCCTGATTGTATAAAATCGTAACAAAAAGGAGAAATGACCTTCTTACACATGAAATATCATCAATGCTTTTAATTTCTGTCACTCTGGAAACAAAAACTATTGTCTTTCTTCTGCTACATAGCTTTGATTTAGCTGTCCGTCATATTAACCTACTTATACTTTAAAGAGAAAGAGAGCGAGAGATCATAGCATTCCTCTAGAGTTATAGATGATGTTTTATCAACAAAGTTGCAGGGCTTGGATTACACACTTGATCTGTCCCCTTAATTTTGTAGGATGCAAAGAGTGGTATGTTCCAGGGTAAGATGGGCTACTTTTCTGCTTGAATGATCATCATAAAAACATAATTTGCATCACAGGGCATCTTTCATTGCAAAGTTATAATGATTCTGTAAACTACCCTATACCTTTGGGAGAAAAGGCAGTTCAAAAATAAAACGAGTAAGACAAAATGCAGCCTTCCTGTGTCCCATTAATTTAATTACTATTTCAGTAGAAGAGGTTTAGATGAAAAGCTTAAACTCCTCCATTCAGATTCATTGGTCTTTAAAAGTACTTAACATACACCTATGTATTTAAGGTTAAAATGAGGATCCAGTTAGTTGATTCAGAATCAAAGAGAGTTTGGAAACCTAGACTGTCCTCTTCCTGCATTCATTTCATCAGCAGACAGACATTTTGATTTAAGCAAGCCTTTAATATGTATGAAGGGGTTCTATGAACCACTTCATAGGTTAAGATCTGGGTAGGACCTGCTCTCTGTCCCACCTCTTTTGAAGGCATGACTGGTGGGGATGAGAAACAGGGTCTTCTCGGTGGCCCCTTGGCTGTGGAACTCCCTCCCCAGCAAAATCAGATCAGCCTTTGCAGAGTAATTCAGTGCAATAAGTAGATATGAAATAAGTGCAATCATGGTTGGAATGGTTCCTGGACTGTGACTTTGGATTTGTGTGGCTTAAATAATTGGTTTTTAATACATTTTTTAAACTTTTATGATCTGATGTATATGCTTTTTGTTTTTACATGTTTTTTATACGGCATTGAATTATTGCCCTTCAGGCTGAGGAGGGCGGGACATAAATATAGTAAATAAATAAGCAAAATAAAATACTTTGCTGCATAAACACTTCTAGAGAAGAAGATTGCTCACTTTTCATATTTTAAAAAGTGTAAGGGCGATGAGGACATCTGATGTATATACCTAAGATTAAGTTAAATTTGGTTACAGGTTGGTCACCCCCAGTTTTTTTATATTTATATATAAAAATATTTATATTTTTACTCGGACTCAATGTATACTGTATGTTGTGTTCATATTGTCTGTTTTGATAAGGTCAGTTGGCTGATCAATAAAAATAGTTCATTCATTCATATTTTAAAAGGCTGTCCCCATATAATATGGTTCTTATTAAACAAAAAGTGTGTGTGTGTAAAATAGATTGATTACTTCATAAGTAATCAATAGGATATATATCTATATCTATATATAGATATATATCCTATTGATTACTTATGAAGTCCTTATCATAGAGTTTTCTTCAGAGGAAATTTGCCATCACCTTTGTCTCAAACCACTATACCACATTATCTCCCTCCACCCCCAAATGGCTAGCAAAGAATAAAATGTGCTCACACATTTTAATTCCTGGATTGTTGTAGATTTTTCGGGCTGCATGGCCATGTTCTAGAAGCATTCTCTCCAAACGTTTCACCTGCATCTGTGGCAAGCATCCTCAGAGGTTGTGAGGTTTGTTGGAAACTGGAAAATTGGGTTTATATATCTGTGGAAGGTCCAGGAGCAAGAACTCTTGTCTGTTGGAGCTAGGTATGAATGTTTCAGTTGGCCACCTTGATTAGCATTTGATAGCCTAACAGTTTTTTAGGTGTGGCTTGTTACTTCCTGGGAAATGTCCTTGTTGAGAGGTGACTAGGTGTTCCTGATTGTTTTCTGGCTGGAACTCCCCTGTGTTTGAGTTTTGTTTTTTATTTACTGTTATAATTTTAGAGTTTTTTTAGTACTGGTAGCCAGATTTTGGTCATTTTCATGCTTTCTTTCTTTCTGTTGAAATTGTCCACAAGTTTGTGGGTTTCAGTGGCTTCTCTGTGTAGCCTGGCATGGTGGTTGTTAGAGTGGTCCAGCATTTCTGTGTTCTCAAATAATAAGCTGTGTTCAGGTTGGTTCATCTGGTGCTCTGCTATGACTCATCTGGTGCTCTGCTATGACTCAAATAATAAGCTGTGTCCAGGTTGGTTCATCTGGTGCTCTGACTTCTCTGGTTGAAGTAGTCTGCAGTGCCTTTCATGTACCTTGATTCATGTATGGGCACTGCATTTGGTGGTCCCTATGTAGGATTGTCCACAGCTACGTGGTATCCGGTAGACTCCTGCAGAAGTGAGAGGAGAACCAAAAAAACCTACAACAACCCAGTGATTCTGGCCATGAAAGCCTTTGGCACTACATTTTAATTTCTCATCAGGATGTTGCTTACCCAAATTTAAATATTGTATTTTATATGTAGTCAGCTGCCTAAAAAATATAGTGTAAGGGTTCTTTTACAGCATGTTCTACTTACACCCTTTTATCGGTAGAAACGTAGAAGCAATGGAAAGGAAATAATTATAACTTATTTCAAACCACTGTTCTTTTCTCTGACTCAGTGATGAATTCACACAATAGAAGTGAACTTGTTCTGTCCATCTGATAATCATGAGTGACACATCATTAAGTAATCCTATTATCAGTTAAACCACCTCATAGTAACTGGCTATGAAAGGTCAGATAATTGTATCTACTGGTGTGGAAACGCTTATTGTCGATATGTCCTGGGCAGGATGGCAAAGGAGTTTGTTAATGCTGCTTGCAAATGGGAGATTAGGATCCCGGGAGAACATTTTATCCCTCCTGGCTGTTTTGATGTTGCTGTTTAATTTAATCTTCTGTCTGCAGGTGTAGTAATGAGATAAGGAGAAGCTTTTTGCAAGTTGTTGAACTTTGATGTGCCCTTACTGCCCATTGCAGATTCCCAAATGTAGATGTGCATATCTTGTTACTTTCAGGTTGGGGTGAAGAATTCATGAGCAGATTTGTAGTGCTTCTATCCTACTGGACAATCACATTACTCTTTGCATTCTTTTTATGAATAATAATGTCTAAAATTAGTGTTGGAGCAAGCATAGAACATTATATATAGTGTTTAGTGGAAGCTTGGTGATACTACCATCTAGATCACACAATGTCTTATGATTTTGTTAATGGTCACATTGAGATTCATGAGATAACAAAAATGACATGTGTTCATTGAGTATGAAGGCCTATTGCTTTCATTCAAAAGGGCGAAGCTTCATGTCGGATAAGCTAAAAGATGAGGCAGCTTAGTAACCTAGATAACTGAGAAATCTGTAATCAATTTCTGAGAAGAGACATTAATACATTGCTTTGAAGAATTTAGACTCAGAGATAAAAGTCTCCTCCCTTTTTTCTCTGACTAATCACTAACTTCTCTGCATAGAGGGATAGATTCTCTAGTTTATTTCTAGGCTTTGGAAGTGAAATTTGCTAGCAACTCTATTAATCATGAGTCATCTTGTTCAACCCTCTGCCATGCAAAAAAAGCATAATCAAAACACCCCTGAAAGATGGCTATTAGCGGTGTGTAATTCAGTTAAACCCAATTCCATTTTCAGTATCGGCATTTCAGTGGACCCATAGATCCATTTTTCAGGAGAGCTTCTGTAAAGTTTCTTGACTAGAGTATCACACAGCTTGAGACCAATCACTGTAAAGACCAATCACCCAAGCATTAACTCCTTAAGTCATAGCTCCCTGCTTCTCATTGGCACCTCCTTCTCACAGCCAGCCGGTCAGCTGTAGCTCTGTAAGTAGGTGTGGCATCCCTTCCCATGACTCCTCTGGCTCCCCTTGTGCTCCAAGTGGCTGAGGCTCCTCTTTTTACCTCAGAAAGAGCTGCTCACACTTGGCCCCTCAGCGGCAGTGGTGCCATTCTCCTTATATCCTTCAATAAGACCTGGGTTAAAGGCAATAGGCTTAAGAAATCACCCTTTCTGGAAGTGTTTGCCCTCAACACCCTTTCAATGAAGCTGAGTTAAGGCACCCTTTTTTAAACACTTATTTCAATGGGAGCCACACCACATGAAGAAGCATTGGCCATTATTTTAAAAAGATATAAATTACCTCCTTATGGCAACTTTAGAAATGGTAAGATACATCTTCTACCCCACATTTGAAGCTTGCTTCGTGTGAAGGGCACCATCAGTGGCAGTTTAGAAAGTAAAGTGCTTATTTATTGCTATTTGAGTCAAAAAGCAAGCCAAGCCATGCAGAGCGGAAAGAGGCACTGAGAATTAATTTAGATCTCTGATCTGTCTCTCTGAGAAGCCTGCTTGCAACAGAAAAATGGAAGCTCAGCTTGGCTAAAAGACACATCATGGCTTTCCTCTGTTCTGATTGGCTCAATGGGCAGGGCTCACAGGGGAACCCATTGTGCATGTAACTGCCTCTGCGCTTCATGGGTAGCCAAAAGAAACCAAAAGCAGTACCGTATATTCCGGGGTACAAGACGACTTTCTAAGCCTGGAAAATCATCTCAAAAATGGGGAGTCGTCTTGTACCCCGGCATATTTTTTTTTGATCATTTTTCCCTGGTGTCCCTTGCCCTTGGCATCCCCGCGTGGTGGAGCCTGAGGAGGAGGGAGGGCGGAGGGAGGGAGGGGGCGAGGAGGAGCAGCGGCAGGCTTTGCTACCGATCTGGCAGCATGGTAGCCTACTGGGCTGTCTTCACCTTCGCAGGCATTGAGTTGGGTCCGCCTCCGCCCTCCATCTCAGTGTAGCTGCTGCAGGAGGGAGCCAAAGCCAGAGGGGCGGGGCCTCTCGCTGCTCCGCCCCGCCCCCGCAGATGGCCCCGCCCCCCGGTTCCCCCCCCCGCTCCGTCTTCAACTCCTGCTGCTTTTCCAGGCCGGCGGGGGTGTTTGCATGCTATGCTGTGCTGTCCCCTCCGCCACTGGTCTGCTGCTAGCTCCGCCTCTGGCCTCAAAGCCAGAGCAACTGCCGAGGGAACCAAAACCGGAGCGGGGAGGCAGTGGGAGAAGAGGACCCCGCCCCTCGCGGCCCCGCCCCACACTCCGGGTTTGGTTCCGCCACTGGTCTGCTGCTAGCTTTGCATGCAAACACCCTCGCCGGCCTGGTAAAGCAGCAGGAGTTGAAGACGGAGCGGGGGGGCGGAACCGGGGGGCGGGGCCATCTGCGGGGGCGGGGCGGAGCAGCGAGAGGCCCCGCCCCTCTGGCTTTGGCTCCCTCCTGCAGCAGCTACACTGAGATGGAGGGCGGAGGCGGACCCAACTCAATGCCTGCGAAGGTGAAGACAGCCCAGTAGGCTACCATGCTGCCAGATCGGTAGCAAAGCCTGCCGCTGCTCCTCCTCGCCCCCTCCCTCCCTCCGCCCTCCCTATGACTTCCTCTCACTTATTTACACAGGGTCTCATCATGTCTCCTCTCAGCCTTCTCTTCTTCAAGCTAAACATGCCCAGCTCTTTAAGCCACTCCTCATAGGGCTTGTTCTCCAGACCCTTGATCTGCTCTCTCCTCCCTATGACTTCTTCTCACATATTTATACATGGCTCTCATCATGTCTCCTCTCAGCCTTCTCTTCTTCAAGCTAAACATGCCCAGCTCTTTAAGCCACTCCTCATAGGGCTTGTTCTCCAGACCCTTGATCTGCTCTCTCCTCCCTATGACTTCCTCTCACATATTTATACATGGCTCTCATCATGTCTCCTCTCAGCCTTCTCTTCTTCAGGCTAACCATGCCCAGCTCTTTAAGCCACTCCTCATAGGGCTTGTTCTCCAGACCCTTGATCTGCTCTCTCCTCCCTATGACTTCCTCTCACATATTTATACATGGCTCTCATCATGTCTCCTCTCAGCCTTCTCTTCTTCAGGCTAAACATGCCCAGCTCTTTAAGCCACTCCTCATAGGGCTTGTTCTCCAGACCCTTGATCATTTTAGTCACCCTCTTCCTCTGGACACATTCCAGCTTGTCAACATCTCCCTTCAGTTGTGGTGCCCAGAATTGGACACAATGTAATTCCAGGTTTGGTATAACCAAGGCAGAATAGAGCATGGGGAGCATGACTTCCCTGGATCTAGACACTATGCTCCTATTGATGCAGGCCAAAATCCTATTGGTTTTTTTTTTTTTTGCCACCGCATGACATTGTTGGCTCATGTTTAACTTGTTGTCCACAAGGACCCCAAGATCTTTTTCACACATACCGCTCTCAAGCCACGCGTCCCCCATCCTGTATCTTTGCATTTCATTTTTGACAGAAGTCAAACTGGAAAGCTCTTATTGACCCAGGGTCCCCGTTCCTCTTTTCTGATCTCTTTTCCCCTTCTAACAATTAAACATCACCTGGCTGTGTTCTTGAGAAACTCTAAAACAATTCAAGCTGTCACGGTGATTTAAGGATGAAGACATGTCAAGATGTGACCCAGTAAACATGTGCCATGCCAAATGCTACATTTCTGAAGGATGAGGGTCCAATCTGCCCCTCTCTTCTGATAGGAGGTCCTGATTTATAAAGACTGCTTATAGATAAAAATTCTACAAATGCTTTGCCTTCACCTCAGTACTCATCGTACAAAGCCTGACTTCTATTTGCATGCAAGCTTCTATGCCAACATACATGTAATCTGAACCATTTAAAGCCTGCTTTCATACTTGCTAGCATGATGTAAAGGACCCAGAGTGTAAATGAAATTCAAGGGAGGAAGAGCAACTATAATGTCCAATGTAAGGTACAATGTCCCTCTCATAGGAACCTGCATGTCAGAAGCATTTGAATTAAAATTACCATATTGAATTCAAATCTGATTTTATTAAAAATTTATTTGGTGTGCATTGGAAGAGGGGTGGTCTTATACGGCGAGTATATCCCAAACTCTATATTTTAACTGGAAAAATTGGGGGTCGTCTTATACGCCCAGTCGTCTTATATGCCGGAATATACGGTAGTTTTCGGCAGCCATGTGGTCTGTTGTGGCTGGAAAAAAATGGTGGTGGAGCCTGTGCTGTTATGGCTGGCCAAAACAGCCAGAGCCCATTTTGAAAAATTTATCCATGCACAACCCTAATGGCTATGGGGTTTTTGTTGTTGTTGTTTTATATTCCAATGATGCAATAGTTTACATAGATGTCAAAAGATTGGGAAAATCCATACTAAAACCAAAGCCAACTAAAATAAATGCATTTTCAAAGAAATATTCTTTTGCTTTGATTGACTAAATTTCCTATATTATTTTTTCTCCCAACTGTCTCATAACTTGTTAAGATTTCTCCTTGTTCTTTTCTCTATAAATTTTCAGGTGGGAAATACAAAGACTTCTGAGTATAGGTCCTAAATTATTTTAGAACAAAAATGTAGACTTCTAATGGGATGGTTTGTAATTCTAGTGAATAGTTTCATCAGAGAAAAACTACGTAGCACCAAAGATCATTACATTTCACATCAAAAATGATGAGATGACATGTCAGAAAAGAAAGATTTAGCATCGGAAAGCTATGTGTAAAGACGAAGTTACTGACATAATTTTGGGAAGTGTTGGACCAAAGAAAACTGTACACCAATATAGTTTTAAAATTAAATTATATTATTAGATACTATATAATAATTACATATGACCAACTCCAGCCCCTACTGTTGAGCTTACTGTCTTCTAGCACTAACCAAATTTGGCTTAGGAACTGACTGATGAAGGTTAAAAAGAAGTAGGGTGGATTGCTTCACTGTAATATTAAACTAATTAATGTAAATATAGAGTATGAAAAACAAATTTGCACATTTTTAGAAAGTGGAGTTTATGTATTATCAGAAGTTACCACATTTTCTGCTTGATGGTAAGATTTACAAGTGGAAACTTTTTGGATTTGCTTATCTTTATGACTAACAATAGCGTGCACAAAAGCTCAAAACTTTCTTGCAGTAATTTCCCAAGAGATGTGTAAAGTGAATAATACAGGAGTCTAGGCCATTGTTCATGCATGCATTTTTTTAGGGTTCAGTCCTAAGATTTACTTCTTGGAGTAAACCTGGAGATTTACTTCTGCATATATATGGCGGCTCTTGAGCATTCATAAGTACCCTCCTTTGAAAAGCTGAGCTAATATATGGGACTTCTGGTAATTTTCTGACCAGGAATTTAAAATTACTTACTGTAAATGAGAGTACACATCTCTACCTTAAAATTATTTGATCTATCTTTTTCTCCCTTAAAGTTCCCATTATAATTAGAAAAAATGCTTTGCTAATAAAACAGAATCAGTCTTACTGACACTGAAGACTCAAATGTATTACCAAGAAAAATTTATGTATTCTTTTCTATTATCTAGATAATATGTTGCCTGACCTTTGTTGCCTGACTTTTAGGTTGTAGCTGATACCAATATCAGTGCCATTGCCAGCCAGCTAGAGAGCATGACTGCGGGTACTAATTTTACCCCACCAGCTGAGCACCATTCTGAAGAGCCTGAGTAAGTATGCCTTTTCTCTTTTTTACTTTATTTTAAAAGAGCTGAAAAGCAGTTGAGAATTCAATTGGTTCTTAAACTTTATTCCAGTCATTAGTACACTGTCTAAAGCCTAAATGCCAAAAATAGAAATCCAGATGCATATTGATAATTTCAGGTACCTAAACTTACCTGGGGTTTCTATTTGCATCTTAACAGCTAGCCTGGTTAGAGTGGCAGGGATCTGTAATACTGCTGCATGGTGGCATCTTTCCAGCAACCTTTGCATTTTCTCAAGCCCTTAGAAATGACACAGTCAGTCAAACAGGAATCAAAGCAACCTGCTGTTCAAGGCTGGTCATGAGCAGGCTAGCCTGATTTTTCTTTCTTGGTGTGATCCACCTGCTCAGCATAAACTGTTATCCCAAAACTAGCTCTTTAATTCAGTATCAGAGCAGTTTCCCCTCCTTCCTCCCTCCCTCCCTTCCCTATCTATTATGAGTTGGATCTAGTTTGATCTACAAGGGGAATACCATTGGTGTTATTTTGTCACATGAATGATCAGCCCTCCGTTTTCAGTAACAGAGGTCAGACATATTCTTGTTAATCCCATTTCTATTTCTTTGTCGCCTGCCTAGTTTTATGACACCTTCTGAAAAGCTTTAGTGCCCTTTCCCCAAGAGATTATATAAACATTTCTGCTTTTGAGTTGAAAAGGAAGAAGGAAGTCAAAGATAAAAAGAAACGGGACTTTAAGACTTAGTTCGTGTGTGCCCTCAAGAAATTCCCAAGTTATGATGACCCTGGCTTTTAGCAGGAGGTTTCGGGAAGCACCAGTCCTGAACTCTTGCACCGGCAGGACTGAAGACCGACAGGTCGCAGATTCGAATCCGAGGGGAGCGCGGATGAGCTCCCTCTACCAGTTCCAGCCTCCCACAAGGATGTTAAAACATCAAAACATCTGGGCATCCCCTGGGCAACGTCCTTGCAGACAACCAATTCTTTCACACCAGAAGCAACTTGCAGTTTCTCAAGTTGCTCCTGACATGAAAAAAAAATGAAGTTAGTTTTCATTTTTAAAAATATATATATATTTGAACTTTGCATTTTTTTTATTCATGAATCAAACACGTGATGTTAATAGAACTGGCTGCCTAAAATTAAATTTAGATTATTCCCTGCATCTTGCCTTTCTTTATGATGCTGAGTTATTACTCAATGCTCTCCTATTATACTGAGAATTTTTGTTCAGAAGTATTGTGTTTATATGTTAAATTTCCACAAGGAAAAAAGCACTGCAGCTATTGGTTTCCTGCAAGTTAAATGTGATCAAAACTTTGAAATCAGCAGCTTTCTATCTAGACTTCTGTTGGGCTCAGTCATCCTGGTGAAATGATCACAGAGATGTTTTCTCCACATCTGACCTGAAGACAACCTATCAATGAATATACGGTCCTGTCTGTTGAACATAGTATTATTGTTGTTGTTTTTTTAAACAATAATCTATCTGAATTTTACATTTGCTTTGTCCAAAAGCCATGAAAATCTGATTATTTTTTTACCTAGTCAGTTCTGCAGATATAATTTATCCTCCACTTTGACAATCACTCACTTTTGGCCATATTGCCTACAGACTGGGAATCAACCAATATCTGTAGGGCCATGGATCATATTCCTCTGTCTTAAATCATTGCTTAGCTTGTCACAACTCAACCACCTATGTACTTGTTCCTGTCTGTTCCACGCTGAGCATAAGCAAGGAAGAGACATCATACTTGAGGGTCTGATTGGAAATGATTGTTCCTAAAAATGAATGATCCAACAAAATAAATGGATGGATGTGTTTCTGCTATATAGTGTTGCCAAGCTTTTTGTGAGCTTTTATCAGTCTATTAATAGTTGTAATAACAACAATTTCAGTACTTTGTATTTACTTCTAATTTCAAAAAAGAAACTGATGGGGAAAGTTCCACATGGTGATTTCTTCAGCTCACAAAAGCACAGGAATCATACTAGAAAAATAAAAATGGCAGCTGAGTTGCAAACTCATGGAGCTATTCCATAGACAGGCCCAGCAGCTCAATGGTAAAATATATGCTTTGCATTTCATAACTTGGTAGGTCAATTTAAAAGGGTGCCATTTGTTCATACTGGGAAATTACAAAATGTATTTTTATTCTGTGCACAAGCTCCAACTAAAGCAGACTGTTAAGTCAATGAGATTTATACAAGGTTGTTTTACCATGTATTTATTTATTCAATGGACTTACTTTTGCAGGGACTAGATATTGGAATTAGACACTAGAGAGAGGCTGCCATTCATGTTAGTCAGAAATGGGAGAGAAGACAGTTTACTTTCCCAGTTATAAAATTAACACTGTTCTAAGTGACATTCACTGTTTTTCAGGGCACCTCTGCCAAAGGTTATTGTGCTGGAGAAAGGCTCAGATGGATTGGGATTTAGTATTGTAGGAGGCTATGGCAGTCCTCATGGAGACCTCCCCATATATGTCAAGACCATTTTTGCAAAGGTAATTGACAAATTAAAAGAGTTTAAGCATGTATTGTATAATTGCTCCAAAATACATTTTCAGTGACTAAATTCACCCGCATTTGATCAAGCCCACTTAATTAAATGTGAAAATGAGAAAGAATGTGTGCCTGAAGATTTATGCACACACTCTGGAGAACGCTTGAGGAGTGTAATACAGCTTTGTTATGCCAAGATCACCATATCTGGCTGACCCATCCAAGCATCATTTTGCCGAACATGGAGCTCTGAATAGTTTTTCTCATGTTCAGTTCAACATATTTAGTGGAATGGGAGTAGTGCATTGACTGGGGACTTTAATAATGCTCAGGGGAAGAAGGCTAGGAAACATTATACAGTGTGATCCCTCCATACCTACAGGACCAACAAAATATGTATAGTATTCCCTCACTTATTGTGGGGGTTCTGTTCCAGGGCCACCCGTGATAAGTGAAAATCCACGAAGTCGGGACGTCATATTAATTTTAATATTCATACATTATTTTATATATTATTTTCTTACCCACACTTCCTTACCCACCTCCCAGCCCATCCCAAAGGCACTTGCTTGCCTCCCTGGCCCCCACAGAGCTTCCCCACAGGCAGCAGCAGGCCAGGGAGGCAGGCCTTCCCCGCCGTGCCCCAGGCCACTGCACTTCTGGGGTCCCTGGCCTCCACTGGATGTAAATATTTAATATTTAATATTTAGTTAATATTTTCAAAAACCCGCGAAACAGCAAGTCCACTAAAAGCGAACCGCAAAGTAGCGATAGAACACTGTACTCTCTAGGTCCTCTAATGCAACTCTGTGTGCCAGAAGCCACTCATTTCAATAGAGTTTGCTATCCACAGTTTTGTGTATCAATACACATTCCAGAAAACAGTCCTCTCTGCATAAAACCATATTATTATTTTCAGCACAGAGAATTTTGTAACAAGCATATGCAAATTTTGTGCAGAATTAATTCCAATTTCTCACAGCAGGGAGAAAATTGCTAAAATTACTTGTTGCTTCCTCGGAGAAAAAAATTAGTGAAGAATAATATCCCTGTTTTCTGTAAACTGTGCATCATTATCAGACCCATGTGTGCAAATACATCATGTTGTATAACACCAACTCATTGTTAGTGACTAAATAGAATGCAAGCCATTTTTAAATGCACTGAAATGTTAAAGAAATGGTTGAAATGCCAGAAGCACTCCTAGGGAAAGGCTTATTTTGCCAGCCCTCCAGCAGGTAAGTAGTGTAAAACTTTTAGCCTCTTCTTCAATGAAGACCTTTTGAAAATTTAACTGCTACGACTCCTCCAAGAAGTAAGACTAGACTACCTTGTGTGTGTCTATCCCACTGCCTATTCGTCCTTTCTGAGGATCTATAATGCACTCTTATTTTCATTGTTTCTTTACCAGGGAGCAGCAGCAGACGATGGGCGATTGAAGCGTGGTGACCAGATCTTAGCTGTTAATGGAGAGACTCTGGAAGGCGTAACCCATGAACAAGCTGTGGCTATTCTGAAGCGCCAAAGAGGGACTGTAACGCTAACAGTGTTGTCATGAGCTTTTGCAACTGTAAACTGGGCTGGGTGCAATTATTCCTAAGCCTTGCTAGAGCTGCTGTAAATCAGTGTTGAGCATTCAACTCTGTGTGAGATGAAAACCCAACTCCAGCTAAAAATAGCATACATTAATTATGCGCAATCATAGCCAACGAAAAGATTTGTTTGAGTTATTGTAATTGAAATCCATTGTGAAACCATTAACTCCACCCTTTCCTCCATCTTTCCTTTCCTGTGCTTCCTTTTTCCTGCTTTTACCCATCGTTATTATTGTCTGTTAGTAGAAGAATAATCACTAAAACTAAAATTAGCATTCATGCAGAAAAAAGGTAGCTTGCTGCTGAATCCCATCTAAAGAACAAAAAAAAAAGTGCTGGGTTACGTTTCATCTCATTCATGGTTTGCTTATGTTAATTCTCTTTTTATCTGTGCCAGAATACATTAAAGCTTAATTCAATTACCTCTGTTCCAAATGATGAAATAGCAAAACCTCCTATGGGAAATTAATCGTATATGAAGTTCTAATCATGAAACGACAGCATCTCTGTCTAATCTCTCTGGGTAGATATATGTAAGTTAGTTGTAATTATGATGAGTCAATTTTCTTCCTCTCCTCAATTTGTACATTGCTACTGTTTGAACTTGTCTAGTTCCTGAACTTGTCTTCTGTTGGACTGACCAGAATCTTATCGAAGGTCTGTCTGAAGGCTAAGCTATAGGAGTGGTTTGTACAATGTAAAGCTTAACTCAGTGGAAGCAGAAGAAAGCACCTTAATTTGTAATAGGGCTATTGTTATTTATAATGATAATATTGTGATGAAGAGTAAAGGAAACCTGGTGGCTCGAATATCTCTTGGTCAATTCTGTGGTACAATGTCTCATCCATAAAGAAAGTGATATCTTTCTGTCCAAAACCCTGCAACTTCTATATAATGTACTTTTACTGCAATACAATTAGAATGCAATAACATTCGTCTTGATTGTGTAGAATAAAGCATATGTGCTAAATTGATCAAAGCTGACAAAGTAGTCAAAGAAAGGATGAACTGTCAAAGAAAGGGTAATTGTCTTGTTAAGAATATTGTCTTTTGTTTTATGTGCTGTGTTTGGATCTAGCTAATCACAAAGTGCATTAAGTTATCGGAATGCCTTGTGGGTAGTCCATAAATAGTGCCTGAAAGCAGATTTAGAAGATTTTTGAAATGGAATTCTCCCCAGATTTTAATGTGCATATTAATATTAGTGATAGCTATGTAGGAAGTTAAGAAAATTTCTGATTGAGAAAACTGAAGAACTTTTTTACGCTTCCCTGTTTAAGAATGAAGATAATGTTTCCCAAAATAAGGTGACGTTCCATATTTACTTCCATATTATGCTTGAAGAAACAGCTTATTTTTAAGTTTGATTGTGGCCAAAATATCACAAGTATTTTGTATTGTCTTGGCCAAAAATGCACCATTTGATTTTCTGTATACCATGCTTCCAAATAGGATGCAAGCAGTTTTTCTACGCACATTTTTCTGATACAATGAATGTAGAGCTTAAGTGGTGAGGTAATTCACACTTCATGAAGCTCAAACAGGGAGATCACATGATTGCTGCTTGCAATTTGCACTCTTGTGTCACATGTAGTATTGCCAAAAACTGCATTGCAACCTTCAGATAGACTGGTGACTATATGGGCATGTTAGGAATGAATGCTGTATGTAACAGACCATGGGCACAAGCTGATGAGATGTTATCCCAAGGGGAATCTCACTGAAATAAATAAGAGCTGTGTAAAAGTATTTCTGGCTATCCACCACAAAAAGCTCAGTAGATTGTGCCCTGGTTCTTTAAGTCTGCATTATGCTTTTGGGGGAGGGGGGGGGGTTATGAGCTTTTGGCTTGTTTTAATAATGCTGCTGATCTTTGTGACGAGAGAGGGAAGTAGCACAGTAAACTGTATGTTCATGTATATTGGTAAATTAAAATGTTTTATGACTTCCGAAGATTCTAAATAAAATTTCCTTGCATAAGTATGGTGGCATACTACAAAAGAGGTAACATTACACTGTGCATTGAAATCTACCAGTCACAGAAAGTTTAGAATGTGAATGGACACCTTTTTTCTGTTGAAAATATTATGGAGTGATCTGGTTCAAGCTTGAAGCTGGAAGTAAGGATGAAACCTTGGTGGGCAAGCCACAGCCAAAAATACTCTGTCCAACAAACAGGGATGGCAACAAAAAGGGTGATAAGGTGATAGCACAGACACTGTGTATGCCCCTTGCTACTGTCTGTGCCATCCTTATCACTCATTCTGTTGCATTTCTCTTTCTGTTTCAGTCTCTCCTCTTTTACCTCTTACCAGGCCACTGGGTAAGTGACACATTGCTCTTATATAGACCTGAATTGATCATATGCACAGAGCTCTTCAAATCAGGTGGAAGATTGCATGAGTTCAGGACTACAAGCTGCCTATTCTTGTCTTAGGACACAAAACTAGGCAACAATTGTGTTACCTTTCTTAAGCAAAAGAAGCTCCTGACTCCACAAGCCCAGAACTATCTAGTGACTGAAGTTCATATAACAGTATTGACACAATGCTTTTATTTTATAAAGGGTCATATACATCCTGGACAAAACCACCTCTGAGTATTCCTTGCTTAAGAAAACAGTATGAAAAATTCATGAGAGTCACTCTAAGGCAACAGGTGTGTATATATGTTTGCCCTTAAAGGCCATAATACACTACTAAAAAAAGGTTCCCAAATGAACCATTTGGGAACCTGGACACACTGGATATTGTTCTAATTACTGTGAAACACGTGCTTTCTTATATGGGAAAAATTAGCAATGAAACTAGAATTAGAGCAGAGCTTTTCAGACTTTTTATGTTAATGGCACACTTTTTTGACATGCATCATTTTGCGACACAGTAATGCAGTCTTATTAACAAACTGCAGGTTCAACCAACCCCTTATAAGAGATATAGACACATAATTAAATTGTAATAATGAAATGTGTGGGGACACAACAAATGTGAAGGTTTGTAGCTCCACCAGTGTAATTTCATTGGCCCAGTCAAAGCAAAAATATAAGGTTTGCTATTATTCACAGTTGCATATATCCAGTGCAGGGAGATGTCTTGAAATGCATTCCCTGCAGATACAGGGGTTATACAGTATTTTTACATTGCACTTTTCCTACTATGCACATTATTTAAAATATATTCACATAATCACTGCAATGCAATCTTCTAGAAGCAGTATGACCATGCAGTTTTCTTATCTTCTTGAGGGAGAATTGAATCAGGTTTTTTCTTCCATTATACCTGTGCAAATACTTTTTTAACAGTGGCGCTGTTCATTAATAACTAATACGCTTATTCTTCTCCAGCTGTTACATTTTCTAGCCAGCATTCACTTCAAAAAATCATGGTTTCCCTTCTTACTTATTGGGAATATGTGATTTGCTCATACCCCTGGCCAGTTCTGTGATATTTGAATAGTTTTATAATGAAAATTCAAGTATACTTTGCTTAGCAATGAAATTATTAGACATAAAGATAGTAGGAAATGCTCAAGGTCTGATGTTAGAGATACTTACTTGGTTATACTTTATAGCAGTTGATGCATCTAATAACATTAAATCTTATGTAATGCACAAGATTCACATAAGATTCACATATAGTTTCACCATAAAGAGAAATTATCATATAAATCTTCAAAGCTGTCTGCTACCAGAAGGAAGCATGGGAGAGACAAAGGATTTGAGAAATGTGCAGCATGAATCTGATTATGAAGAAGCCTGTCTCTCTCAAGCAGAAATGAGCAATTGTGGCAAGTCTAGGAACCAAGTTTGGACTTCAAGATTCACTGGGGCCAACTGGATTGCCAAAAATGCCAAACAAGAAAACCTCAAGAAGTGGTTAGAAGTTCAGTCATGTTTTTGCAAAGTGATGATGGTGTTGATGTTTCATGATTTTAATATAGTGAGGCCTTGATATCCACTGGGGTTTGGTTCCAGGACCCCCATGAATGTGTAGGTCACATGATATACAGTACTGTAGTAAAATATATAAAACAGCAAACTCAAGGGATTTTTTGGGGGGTGGGGGATATGTTCAAGTTATAGTTGGTGAATCCATGGAAATGGAGAACCAATTGTACTTTCAAGAGTACATTCCTTTCTGGATAAGCCCCTGCTGAGGTATTTTTAAAAGGCCATCTTAACTAGTGGATGAAGTAGTAGAAGCTTAATGAAGACCAAGGCCACTTCCATTCTATACAGTTGTACCACTATGATTATATTGTCATGGCTACCTTCCATCAATTCCTGGGCTTTCTAGTTTGGAGAGGCACCTTTGCTGAGACTTCTAAATGTGTGTGTGAGAGCCTTCAAATCACAATTTCACTTATGAATGACCCCCTAATTCCACAAGGTTTTCTTAGGCAAGGAATACAGAGGTGGTTTTGCCAGTTCATTCCTTTGACATACAACCTACAGCATCTGGTATTCCTAAATTGGGAACATCAGGATTCAGTAGGAAGGAATTATGGTAGGGTATATTGATTTTCAGTGTGGTGGTGCCCTCCATAAAATATGTACTTCAACCCTTATCATTCTGAGTCAACATGATCACCAGTCATGATAGTTTGGAGGTGGTACAAAAAATGAAGCACTAGCATCACTATATAAGTCTAACACTATCAGTATTCATCAGTGTCCATGGCATTTTAAACGTTAAACAACCACAACAGCCAGTAAACCTTGCTAAAGCTGTGCTATTTAAGCAGGGAAGTGGTGTGTCCTTGGTATTGTGAACATCATTGGCATCTGTATGTCTCTGAAGGAACTTGGACATTTCTCCAGTGATCCCCTGCTTGACTTAGAATTAACTGCTAATCTCTTCCACTTTCCACTGGGTATTTCTTCCACTCCATTATATTCTTACCTGCAGACCCATTGTATTTCTTTCAACTCATTGACTGTATACTGCTATGTGATTTAGTGGTTTAGCATTGGACTACAACTTTGGAGACCAGGGTTCAATTTCCTACTCATCGATGGAAACCCACTGGGTGACTTTGGACAACCTACAACTCTCAGCCCCAGAAAACACAATGGGGGTTGCCTTAGGGTTGCCATAAGTCTGAAATGTCTTGAAGACACATAGCACAACAGCAGTTTACTAATGGATCATTTTATATCAAGCGCCATTACTTGGTCTATAAGAAAATAAACTCAGACTATGCTTGTAACATCAGAAGGAAATACCATCATTGTTTTGCAGTGTAACAGTAACTTTTATTTACAGCTACAGGTGTGTCCTTTCTAAATAGTGGAGGCCGGGTGGGGGGGGAGGAAGCTGGATAGAACTAAGGTCCTTCAGGACTGCTGATGGCTGTTGTGTTCAGAGCATACTCCTACAGCAGTGGTTCTCAACCTGTGGGTCCCCAGATGTTTTGGCCTTCAACTCCCAGAAATCCTAACAGCTAGTAAACTGGGATTTCTGGGAGTTGTAGGCCAAAACACCTGGGGACCCACAGATTGAGAACCACTGTTCTACAGTCATTCCTCTACATTTATGATATTGACTTGGCAAGATTTGACTAAAAATATTATGCTTAGGAATCTTTAGGAATCTTTAGGTCCTTCAATGTGACTTTTCCTGCTTCTTGGCAGGGGTTTGGATGGATGACCCATGAGGTCTCTTCCAGCTCTATGATTCTATGACTCTATGGTCAACATCCCTCAGTCATGCTGGGGAATTTAGAAATGTCTAGAAAAAATGGCTCTCTAGGAAGCTTTAGATCCTCCAAAGTGAGTATGTTTAGATTCCAACAGTAGTTGATCATAGAGTCAGGCTGGAAGAGCTAGACATTCCTATAGGGTTGTTCTCTTCTGTTAAAAACAATCATAGCAGGGGTTTTTTTATTCCCAATGAATGGACTTTACTGACCCAATGTGTGTGGACAATCTGATACAGAAAAGGAACTGCCAGATTTAAAGAAGAAATTAGAAGAAAGGCAAGTGCTTTAGAAAGCAATTTCCAGCATGTAGTGTCAGACACAGACGCATGGAAAGATAGGCTCTCATCTTTCACCTTGATGGGCATTTCAACTCTCCAGACTGTGCTCATGTTTTAAAAATATGCTCTTAAAGATATTTTCCACACTGACCTCCCTCACCCTGAAATTGCACAGTTGAGCTTCTTCTCTATTATCTCTAGCCTTCTACTGTAAAGCAATTTTATTCCCTGAAATCGAATTGCACGATCACCCTCAACTGAGACAATTTTATTGTCTTTACAGTTCTGCGCTTTGGCACTTCTGCCAGAGGAGCAGGAAAATCCATCCATAACTCTCCTACTATGAGGCATAAATGTTCCCTAGGGTCTGTCATCTTTGTTTTGTTTTTGTTTTTGTTTTTTGTTTGTTTTTTGGGGGGGTTTTGAGAAATTGGTAAAAATTGAATACATTATTTTTGCAGTACAAAACAGAATCCAGAAGCTAAATTCCTTAATTGGAAAATGAAAAAAAAATCTCTTGCTGCCAGGATCCTGCCAGTAATGCCCCCCATGTTGCAATTAAACTCTGCGAAGTTTTCCGATTCTGTATGAGTAGACAAGCTGTTAGATAATGTGACCTTACGCATAAAAGAGCAGTATGCCTTGCCTGGAGTGACTTTGGGCTTCCTTTCTGTACTGAAAGAATGCCCCACAAGGTAGAAGAAGAAAAGGAAGGTGGAACTTTTTTTTTTCCAAGCCATGTTCATTGAATTAATAGGGGACTTGTTTGCTTAGTGCCCTCTAGTGTCAGATATCTGTTATGAAAATCACATTATGGAATTTTCTAGCTCAGAACTTTCACTTTCTGTAATGTTACAAGAAAATTTCTATCATGTTAATCTTCAAATAATAGATAAGAAGCAAGATGACTGAGCCATTTTCCACTTTAACATAATAACATGGTTGGCAAGTTAGTTTCTTGCTATCTCATTAATTGAATACCAACTCTTTCTCTTTTTTATG